TAACATTTTTTTTTGTCAAGCATTTTGCGATGTTTACATTTCTTTTTTGACAATTATCACTGAAAAAAAAGCTTTTGTGGACGATACGTCGCTGAACTAAATGGTATGGGATTCCATTTTGGACACCTGTGAACTCAATGTAGTCACTTCCCACAAAAAGCAAGAAGCATATGAATCGGTTCGCGTCCGCTTTCCGAGCTTTGCGTTACTGTTCTACAGAAATTGCAGCCAGCCATTGATCCCGGTTGATCTTTCGGAAATTTGTGCATACTCTGCCGCACAATGCCACTTTCAGATGAAGGACATGTGAGGCAGCTCTTCACGCAACATCTTGGGAGTATTCGTTTTCGGAGCTGATCACGCGAATTTACCACGGGAACTCACTACTCATTCCCAGCACTTAAATGTACAAAACAACTCATCTTGAAGTACAGAACAGCGAGCGGAAGAAACATAAGTGCAAACGAATCGCACGGAAAACAAATCCCGGAACGCATTTCGTCTGCTACGTGCAGAGAAAAAAAAAAAAAAAAAAACCCGCACGGTTGGGTGTAGCACGTGACTTCCGCCGCTCCCCCACTCTATCCTCTCCACTTCTCTGTGCAGTGCGGGAGTTTCAATTTCGGTTTCGAGCAGTTGCGTTTTTTTGGCTTTATTAAAAAAAAAATAAAAAAAAATCTACAAATTTTGCTATTCTTCGAAGTCGGGAATCAGGCGAAAATAGGGATGTCATAGAAGCTTTTTTAGAAATAGGGTCAAATGTAATAATTTAGAAATGTAATTAGCATGTGCTGATAATTGACCAGTTTCTGTACATTCAGTGCTTTAGTAGCACAAAAAGTCGGATCACTTTGACTTCATTCGACAACAGGTTCTGGACGAGAAAGACGTAATGGTTTCCCTTAGTGTTGTATACAAGTTTGCAAAGGTCCTGACAAATCTCGCAGTAGAAGTTGCTGAAGATCGCCAGCAAAGTGACATCGCACTTTCGTCACGAACGTCACTGACAGTTCAAAGCATTGTAAAGGCTCCTACGCATATTCGCGTTTCAATGTGTTGCGGCGTCCTTGTGGCCATCAGCGGTCGCTCGCGGTAGGACACGCACCGTCACGCAACGCCCGGCAGCGCAACGCAAAAGAGTAGACCTGCTAAACTTTCTAAAGCGTTGCGGTGCGTTCGACCAATCAGAAGGCGAGAAAAGAGAGGAGGGTCGCGTGTTCGCTGGCAGCACACGGCAATGCGCCAGCAATGTTTCAAAGGCGGCGATGGTTCAAGCAGGACAGAATGTCGACGAAACCAGCGTGATTGCCCCAAGATCGACCACCTCAACGCTGTCAGTGGGCCCCGCCATGTTGCCGTGAATTTCACTTTCTATTGGTGAGCCGTTAGCGACAATAGCGCGTTCTTATTTTTTCTTGGCTACACTCGACTGTGTGTCAACGCAACTGTGTGTACAAGCTCTGCGGAACTGCTCTTCGCAACGCTGCACATCCGCTTGCCGCTACGGAACGCACCGCGTTTAGACGCTAATGTGCGTATGGGCCTTAATCCTTCTGCGGTTTTGCTTCAATCAATTCTATTTTACCTTCCGCAGTAAATAGTATTACAAAATTGAAGCCTGCCCCATCCGTAGTCCGGTTTTAGTAACAATGGCTAACCTCATGATGGAGACGTGGAATAAAAGGGGTTTCAAGTAAATGCATGCGCAGTTACGTTTTACCGGGGTTTTGTAGATGACCCCTTTGTTATTTTGAACCGCGAACATGTAAATGACTGAATAGAAGCGCCGAAAGACAGGGACAAAGTGAAGCGCCTTTAACAGTGGAGCGCCTCACTGTCAAAGGCGCTCCACTGTTAAAACTCTTGTGTCATATTTGCTACTGTCTGCAAGATAATCTTTTATGTATTTTATGTAATTGTTCATGTACTGCTATGTGTATACTTGCCGACACACTGCTGTCAATTGTAGCTCAGAGTTTTTTTCGCGGCATCCAGGTGGCGGGGGCCTGCACTTACATTGCAAACATCTCATATACAAAGTGCTTCATTCTTGTGTCACTCCTATTGTATTCCATGTGTTGGAATAATAGTATTGATAAATAAAAAGATAAAAAAGGTGGTAACGACAACACGCAGCGCCCTCGCAACTGAAACTTTATTTGAAACACACTGACTTAAATACTTTATTAAAACCAGGTAACTTCCAGCCACCCTATTCAAAACCCATTGATACTTTTTTTTTTAGAAGTAACGACAACCTATACAAAGAAAAGAGCGCATTCAGTTGTATCAAAATGGCGTCGTTCAGTTCAGACCTCTGCTGTGCGCCGCCATTCGCTTCCTTAAACCTGCACAGTCACGCAGTCGGCGCTTCAAAGGATGTCGCTACTTGTAGAAAGCTCTTATCTACACATTAACCCCACTATGTTTCTAAAAATAACATTTTCATATCTAACAGTGCCACAGACGGCTCACTGACACACCTATCGGCGCCCCTGGTTTGATGACAAACGCTTTGTGAATTTCCCTATACTTCGTCTCACCCTACGATAGACTAAAGGCAAAGGCTACAATCCGCCATATTGAATAACGAGTTACTAAGAAATTGAGTGGCATTTGGTTTCGATGCACATATCGGTGCCCGCGTCTCAGATCACTGATGCGGAAGGGTGGACAGCCAGCCGTGACTCCTCTATTTTACATTGCAAAGAACCAACGGCTCTTTGCAGCGTCGAAGCTATAGAAATGATGCAGCATCTTTTTTTAATGGGAGCATTATTCGCCTACTCCAAATTAAAGATAAGCATGTCATAGCTTTGACAAAATGCGCCGCAAGACAGGGACAGAGTAAGTACGACGACACGAAGCGCTTCGTGTTGTCTTACTTACACTGTCCCGGTCTTGCGGCGCATTTTGTCAAAATTATGTACCGGCTGACCTATCTGTCACTATTGATGTCATAGTTCAGCGTGGAAGTGATTGGACCTGACGGCCCGTGCCTTTGGTCTTGAATCCATCGTAGGATGAGACGAAGTATAGCGGGTTTTCTTCTGTGTCGTCCCAGGATGGTTGAGTTTGAAAACAAAGGGGTGCATGGACATCGATTGCAATGCACGGCCTGATTCTCAGACGGCGTCTGTTCGATAGCCACTGCGTGTCGGTCATTTACGCACCGGTCTGTTCACCCTGCGTAGGTGCACCCGCAGGATAGTGGAATGTCGGAGACGACACAGGTTCTACATTCCAAAAACTTATTTTTGAGTTTCTTTTTGCATTCGTCACTATTGCTGTCTAGAGCATTAATTATTTTGCACAATAGCGAAACCTTATTCGGGGCAGAAAAAACAGCTGGAACGTTTTAACGTCCCGCAACTTTTTTCAAATTGTGGGAGATTGCATAAAAGTAAAAAATGATGGCGTTTTTTTTGTTTCTTTTTTTTTGCCATTCATGAATTTTTTTGTGGAACACATTTTTATTTTGGTATTTATGTTATTGTTATGCTCGTAAAAAATTATTATTAGAGAAAGAGTGGGCTGGCTGGAAGTGACGTGTTTTATTAAAGTATTTAAGTCAGCTTTTTTCTATTAAACTTTCAGCTGCAAGTGTGCTCCATGTTGTTGTTACCTCCTTTACTTTGACCCTGTCCGTCGGCGCTTCTATCCAGTCATGAACCAACTTGCCCAACTGCACATTTTGTTGCATGTAAATGATTTTCACTAGACTTTAAACGGCATTGAACTGCCAATAGAATTCACATATGAAATAAAACATAACAACGCGCTACCTTTCTTGGATGTAACTGTTTGCCGAGGTGACGGCTGTCTTGTACAAACAACTGTGCGCCGAAAGCCCTGCGACAGCGGTTAATATTTTAGTTTATATTTTAACACTCTTTGTAAAATAATCAGGTTCTGATAGATATTTTAATGAAGCGAATTGAGCGCATCATCTCAAACGCAGAATTCGTACTTGTGATAATTCGATTTTTGTTCGATTCCTCTTGAAGCGCGACTACCTACGAAGATTTATTGAAAACACGCGTAAACATATGCACCAAGGCTGGAGGGAAAATATCAATAACTACAAAACTGGTGTTATGATCATTCCACGTGTGAAAGCTGTCTCGGAATCTATTTGCGTCTCCCCGCTTCCCTCTAGACGTAAGAACAACTTTCAAGCCCCATCTCAATTTGCGTGGCCTCATTTCAAAACCAAAGGTTTTGACCCCTTCAGTGTCCCAGTGTGGTATGGTGTATTAAGTGAACTTCCTGGATTGTGACTCCTCCTGCATCGGTGAGACCAGTCGAAAACGGAGCACCCGCCTGAAAGAACATAGGGGGGACGTGGAAAAAGCCACACATTTCACGAGGTCGAAAACTGAACTAGTGCATCACTGCTGAAGAACGGATCTCAGCTTTGATTTTTTGAGTGCAGTGACCTTGGCGCGAGAACGGAGCTGGTGGCCACCAAAGTTTCTGAAATCGTGGTGAATTCGTAGTGACGTATCCGCCTGCAATGCAAACCTAGGCCCCCGTACCGAAAAGTACGCATATCTCTTCAAATATTCTTATAAAATCTGCACTGCTCTCATTCGTGTCCCTGAACACGCACTGATACTATCTTCCGTATAGGAGACGAAACGTCTGGTTAGTCTGTTAATATTGTTCTGTCAAGTAGGTGTAGTTTCCGTTGCCCTTATAAATCCCGGCTTTTGAAAAAAAATTTTGAAATATTTTATCGAAATGTTGACTGAAAGCAGCAGGGTTTCCTGTTTTCGGTTTTATAAACATTTGATATTAAAGAAGGTCACTTTTTAAAAGGGATTGTGAAGATATTTGTTGTTTCCTGTGAAAATGTGAGCTTGGTTCATAATAGTTCTTTGATTCCAGATGCATATATTTTCATTCGCCTTTTTACAATGTTCAGCTGTGTCACATTTTAGAGGACGCATATAATATACATGCAAGCAAGAAATCTTTATAATCATTACTTCTCCTAGGTACGTGTTCCACTTCATGTCAATCGTCTAAAATAGTGGACATATGCTCTCTTGATCCGGAGATTGGCGATGGCAAAAGTAATATTGAAGAATGGTTCTACGATAAAAGGACTGACAGATGTCTGCTTACAAAATTTGACTCCAATGAAGACCCGGAGGGAAACAGATTCACTTTCGAGGAATATTGTGTTTCCAAATGCAGAAGTAAGTGGTACCATTATACAATATCACTTTCTTCATTTATTAGGAAATATCATTGCATCAGTATATGGTTCAGATGGGCGTATTAAATGAATGGACACTTCAGGTGAACCTCAGACGGAAAAATCAGACTGACTACTTTACACCAAAACAATTAACAAGTTCCGGCACCGGAGATTCTTATAATCAACATCTCTTGGCACAAAACCACCAGCATATAAATCAGGGGTGGCCAGAGTGACATGGGGTTAGAGCCGCAGACAAAACTACAAAAGTTGAAAGAGCTGAAAGGGAAAAAAGGGTCGGATACCTCTGGAAGAAACAATATAGAGGGAACAGTCCTTTCCTAAGGGGACAAATGTAATTATCAAGTACAACAACTAAACCCAGGCGGCAAAACGTTTCTTTTTTTTTTTTTTTTTAACGCGCTAAACAAGAGTAAATGCGTATTTCGCTAGCCAGCCACTGCCCCTGGCGCCCATCACGCGTGTAAGGTTCGAAATTTATTTAAGAACAATAAAGCAAACAGGGTCACCGCGGACACATCTCTGTCAAAAAGCAGTCCAGATGTATCTACGTTGTGTAGTTCATAAATGCCAATTCTGAGTTTTTTTTTTTTTTTTTTTGTTTATTCTAGAACTATTCTCGTGTTGGGGCACAGGAGCGGAAGGGGGGCACGCTTACCATGGAGCCACGAGCGGCACATCAATTCGTGAAGAGCCGCCGTTTGGCCATCCCTGATAGAAACATTGCTGCGTCTCATATCCCAATAGTCTAACGTAATTTGTCCTCCTCATTAAAATAAATATCCCTAAAATAGAAAAGGTGAAACCTTTGGCTTCGATATCTATTTGTAAAACATTTATTTACACAGACTTTTCCTTAAAGTTAAGTAAATTAGTTGATCCTGTACTGCTTAAAGAAGAGCTAAGATTGAGTGACTAAAATATTTTTTTCAAATTATTAGTGACCAAACCTTTAAATAAGACTTCTTTTTCGCACACATCTAGACCAACGAGAAATAACCATGCCAGGCGAATAAAATATCGAAGTAACAATTTTTTCTTTTTTAATGGTACTCATTTTTTATTTGCGGACTCGAACATAATCCGCCGAGAAATTGAGGGAGAAGTGGAGGGCGAGAGCGCGTAGCGACGTGAGAACGCCGAACTCTGATTGGAATGATTAGTGGGTAGGCGTAAAGTTAGCTGCCTCTGTCTCCAACTGCACTCGTCGAACGCGTTCGAATAAGAAAGTCAAACGCCGGACGCCGGCGTTCCTCTCTCTGAAGCGGTCGATGAGAGCAGTGGAGACAAAGGCAGCTAACTTTACGCCTACCCACTAATCATTCCAATCAGAGTTCGGCGTTCTCACGTCTCCTTTCTTTTATCCCTCTCTCTCTGTCTCTCGACGCATAACTTGCGTGGCACTATACATCAGTTAATAAATTTACTTGGAAATATCTTCGACTCAATATTTCCAATGATTCGCGCACATTATTAGCTCAATACTAACAATCCTTTTCTTAACTGAACACTGTATCTTTCGTCCTTGAATTATGTATGTTGTATATGGTTTATTATGTAGTATTATGATTATTATATGAATATTCGTCTGTGTTGCTATACAGTCTTTACCCTATAATGTGAACAACGCTCTTCTCCTCACTCATAGTTCCAAATGAAATTAACTAGTCCTGCTACTCAAATGAGAAATCAATAAATAATTTAATTTTAGGAAAGTTTCTAAAAATTAAATTAGGACCTAAAAATATTGTATCCAATTCCATTGTCCCTGGGCGAGGTTCCTCAATCAGAATGTTTTAGAAATTAGTTTTTTTAGACACACCATAACGAGACTTTCCATTACACCTATTCTGCTGTAAACCATGCCACAAAATACGCATTTACGCTGGCAGAAAAATATTTTTTTTTTGTTAAACTCTAATTTGTTTGTTATATTCAAAGAAGCATATCGCAAAAGGCACAAAATTTATTCCGTATTGCGGGACAGTAAATCAATAAAAGTCAGAAAGCAGTAGCAAGATTGTGCTCTTTGCATCACCGTTAATAAACAAAACCTGCTCCGAGGCTCCAATTTAACTTAATTTCATCCCAGCATCAATGAACTTTTTTAAAATTGTCTGAGCTAATGTGACTGTTAAACCATAGACTTACTATACACGAAGAACTTTGAGGAATTTTTACATTAAAAGTCATCTAATGCTTGAAATACTATAAAACATCCAGAGAGCAACATTACCCAGGGTTATCTAATTAGGGTTGCTAGGAGGGAGAAGGTTAGAGAAAAGATGAGGGGATGGGGAAAGTAATTGATATTTCACGTCACTTACATTTTCCCTTTAAAGTTTGCGGGGAAACTGGTTGGTTGTAGAAGGTAAATAAAATGGTGTATAGGTGACGTGCCGAAAATTTTGCCAAGGTCGTGTGACATCCCGTGACGTCACGCGACTCCACTCTCCCCGCTAAATTTAGCTGAAAAGGCACGGACTGACGGACACAATTTTGGGATTGGGGGTAAAGTTAGAAAGCATTTTATGGTTTAAAATTTTGAGAAGCATAATCTTATAACACATTTGCGTAGTGGCGTTGCCAATGTTATGCTATTTATCTTCCACAATAGAAAGTTTTGACAAATTGGTTTGGCTTTACCTCTCAATTAAGGGCTATTGCGCAGGCGAGCCGGTAAGCGATCACAGTGAAAAAATAAAATAAAAAACTCTTGAGACTACGAAAAAAAAAAAAAAAGGTAAAGCACAAGACCGTCTCAAAACTCGGATGCAAAATTTATTTTCACGCATCTCTTTTATGTAGGCCACAGCTCATCCAACTACGCTGAAAGATCCAACCTCCAACCCCACAACTAGGTTCAAGTGGGTACAAAGGACCCACGCCTTATCTCAAAAACCGCCAACGCCACAACACAGTGGGGTGGTCTAGACCCAAACGAATACCATAGAACCCTCTACCGCTACGCTATATCTAGAAACAAAGTCAACATTGCGCGTGCACGCTGCTATCCAAGACTTTTTAGAGCTGGGAAAGCTAGCGGAGGCGCATGGTGATACGCAAACCGAGAGAAATATATCGCGGCCTGAAAGCGTGGGTCTGCCGAGAAAGAGTCATTGTGAGATTAGAAAGAGCCGGGCAGTCAAGATGTCCATCACGCCGCATATGCTCTTTCTGCAATCCCGCTTTCAGTTCCGAATGTCACCTTGCGGCTGCGAGAAGTGGCCGCGACCGGTCAGTTTCAGGACTGCAACAGATTGCGATTTATCTCAGGAATTCTAAATATGGTCACAAGTAAAGGTATAATCCGCACTTTTCGCCAAAGAAGCGACCTCCTCCTCTGCCACGTTCATCGTGAGGACAGACAAAAGAAAAGTGCCTGATCAAAAGGACACAGCAGGAGAGTTTGTCGTTGCCGAGAAATTTATCTTGGTGGTTTTGCACTTCATCTGAAGGGGATTGGATTGGCCAGATTGGCCGTCAGTTCTAGACTAAGTAAGGTGTTGTTTGGTTAGGTTAAGTAATCAATATAATAATCGTTTAAATATACAAAATATGCATTTTTATCTATAAAAAGTTAGCAATAAATTTGTAGATAATGACTTTATTAAATATTGCTCACGTTTCCTTTACAAACATTTATTTTACGTGAGCGTTATTGTCTGGTACCGTCGCTAGTGGCTTGGCGTTAGTCATTGTAGACCTATAATTTCTACCGAATTGTGAACGTTCCACTGAAACATGAAAGCTCGCAGCTACGCTTCAATATACGTACGGAGGTCGTAGCAGCTTGCAAATATCCTAACGAGAACGCCTGAACAATCTACTAAAGCTTTACACTGTGAAGTCATAGAGGCTGTTGTTTATTTCGTTCCTGAGACCATCTGGTTAGATATAAATATATCACTTATAGTCTCTCGGAAAATATGTACTACAGAAATAACGCTCGGATCACACGTGATCTTATGCTTATTGGGGAGCTCTAGTGCAACCGTGTTACCCCTGTTAATCAGAAAAGCTACGCCGTAATAAGTCAGAATGCGGTAAATCGCAAGCTTCCATAAAACGCAATGTCGATGGAATAGCTAACGTAGCCCTGATAAAATATAAAATGTTAACCCAGGCCTTGTAGCCATATTTTTTATTTGCGTTGGTGCAAACGAATAATAATTGTAATATCACTTGCGTTTAACACGGCACTTACAAATATATATATGAAACCTATATGTGTGGTGTACTCAAATGTGGAGGTCGAACGAAATCTAAAGCGTGTACCCCAGATAAAGAGTAAAGTATTTTTTTCATCACAAAATTAAATTTCTTGTCTCCGATGGCTTCGTCTCCACTAAAATGTGAATCAAGCGGTCTGGAAAAGATACCAAAGCTTCAGTGCTAACCGTTATCTTACTCAAAACGTATAGGTAATCTTCTAAAAATATCACTTGAAAGACGGGGCTCATTTGCGGGAGTTATGCCATTCAGCATCATATATTCGTGGGCTTTTTTCTGCCGCTATTTTTCCATTGGATGTTTGAGAAAGTTACATATATTTTAATTTAAAAAAAATGAAGGCTCATACTTTTTGCATTTTGTGCGGACCAGTTGTACTACAAATGGGAGCAGACTGAAAGTCACTTCATGTATAGTTTATTTTAAAAATAAAAACAACTTTTTAATGATTCTTTTTTTTTCTTTGAAGGGGGGAGGGCAGATATTTTTTTTTTGAGGAGGGCGGCATTGCATAATGCGAATAGAGTACAGGAAGTCAGAAATAGAAAACGAAATATAAAACCAATATGAATGTCAATGTAGTATAGGCCAGATAAAAGACAATGATAGAATGCTCTTTTAAATACATAAAAATAAGCAAAAATATAAATCACATTGTGCAACAGTAACAGTCAGAATATAAGACCCACAAAATATTGTAGAGGCACGTTGCCCTACGTAACGTTTTATTTACAATATTTGCACATGAACAACGGCACCGTGCGCAGGCACCTGGCGTCGATGCTATTCCGGGGCTTCATCTGCATTCTTAGACGAGTCACTACAATGTGTTTTGTTGAAGTTTTTGATCCGCTACTTTTTTTCGTTCACATTCTTCAAACAGAAAATGTGCCGACGTTTTGTTTCGATGACGCCAATAACTATCGCTCTTACTACGGACACAAACCGGCCCAAAAATGGACATACGATTCCGACACTATCAAATGCGTCCAATTTACCTGGAAGGGAAAAGACACAACAAACAAGAATGTATTTAATTCTCAACGCGAGTGCGAAACCAAGTGTAAAGGTATGTTTTCGATGTTTGAGACGCTTTCACTCTTCATATGCAGCGATTGTTTTGCATGTACACGTCATGCAACCTTGTTAAAGCTATTTTTGTCCTGACGCTTCAACTATGGAGCCAAAATGTTTCACCAATATAACGATGTCTTATATCAAAGAAGTGTCACTCTAAATCAGAAATAAAATGGTTTTCAGTTTGCTTGCGTAAAGTTATAACTTCATTTAAGGTTGCCTCCAGATGGCGAGCAACTGAACAATGTAACTTACCATGTTCTTCGTGCTAGTTAGCACATGTAGAGTAATTGAGTTTGTACTGCTACTGAAGAATCTTTCATGTCGTCAGAACGTATTCTCGCGTAAAACCACTCCAGTGCAATGCTAAAGGATTATTACCACGAAATGTGTTATACGTTTGGCACATTACCGCTTCCGAATTCACACTACAGTGATGGAAGACGATCACTGCGTCAGCATTTGTTTATTTTACAAGACTGAGAGTCAAGGGCTGACGTAGCGCTCGCGTCCTTGCTGATTACACACGAGTCCGACCCGAATGCTGCCGTAAACCTGGTGCCCATCTGTGACTCACGCTGAACTCCAGTAGGTTCCCTGCACAAAATTCAGCACTACGGCTTTGTTACTGCCTTTTCAAACAGCACCGATTCTCTACGGTAGATTGTCTGTGCTCCAAAACTTAACCAAGTAGATCAGAGTTACTCCCACGGGTCACATCATGTGATCAAACACCGTATCTCTCCACCCGTATCGGACGATAAAGAGCGATATTCCGTATCTCAGTACGTTGTACTCTCAGCATCTCTACCAAGCACACGCGCTCACGCAGTGCAGGCATCCTTTAGGACTGCACTCACGCTTGCTGCGCCATCACTGAGATGTTTCTGCGGATTGCAAGTCCGTCTGCGTCTCGCACGGGGGTTGCGATGATGTCATAATGCCGAGCTCTTATTGGCTGATTAAAACAAACAGTGGGTAGACGTCAAGGCATCTATCGTTGAGGTCTACCCACAATGTTTTCAATCAAAGCCAATCAGAGCTCGGCGTCGCTCTCACGTTAGCGTAACACTTGCGCAAGGAGCAGACGGCTTGCTTTCCGCATACGAAGATCTCAACCGACGTAGTTTATAGCGAGTAACTGTCGCAAGTGCACGCTTTTTGAAGCGCTGCGCGGGTGCATATTCTTATAGCGAGACTGGCGTACCTCAATCATTTTGCTTGATCTCGCTAGATTTGTTTCTTTTCTCGCGTTGATGTTGAAGAAAGATGCCGGTTCCCGTTAGCCTTTAATGACGAATGTGGCCTACAGGAAAAAAAAAACACGTAATAATTTATAATCCGTTTGCATTCAAATACTCGTTTTTACGAAAACCCGCCGGTTTCTTTCGTTTGTCAGTGCCGGGGGAAGAGGAAGAAAGAGGAGGAGTGAGTGACGGGTGCGACGCTTCCATTGGTCTGAAGCGTTGACGTCAACAAGGGTCAACATCTCTCTCCCTCCTCGGCGCTGACAAAACTGACAGACACCACCGGGTTTCCACCAAAAGGAGCCATTTCGTTTTCGTCAAAGTCACGCGCACTGTTGGCGCTGTGCAAGAGAGGAGGAGGCGCCACGCAGCACTTCCTAGGTAACAAAGCCGTAGTGCTCAATGAGATGGCGTAATCAGAGAAGCCCAACGCTGGACACAGATTGGAAACGAGTGCTGCGTCGGCGCTCGGCTTCGAGTCAAGTTTGAGCAGAACGTTGACGCAATCGTCGTGTTCAATATGTGTCCAGTGTTGGCCTTCTCTGATGACGCTATCTCATTCAGCAGTACGGTTTTGTTTTCGAGGAGGTATTGCGCCGCGGCTCCGGTGGAATGCGGGCGTGCTCAGTTGCCGCTCTGCCGTCGCCGGTTGTTCTTCGCTCTGGGTTTCCATAGTAACGGTGCGTGGGCAGTGATGTGTGTGTGTAGTTAAAACGATCGATGCGGTTCCCTTCACGAGTGATATGGATGCGGTTCCTCCCTCCGAGTGGTATGGATGTGGTTCTTTCCACGAGTGATATGGGTGACCTATCCAAGGGCATCGATGTACTCTGACAGGCAGAGTACAGAAAAGGGGTGACAAAAAATGACAGAAAAAACCATTGTTGGACTCTTAGGGAATCCGTTAGCATGACATTTGGGAAACGCCACATGTCTGCCTTTGGGAAACATTAACACTGATCCTGTAACGAGGCCAAAAGAGGCAAAAATAAAAAACGGAAAGCAAAAAAAAAGTGAAGGGGTCAGCGTTAACGTTTCTCTAGTGTGGCGTTTCCAAAATTCCTGCTAACGCATTACCTGAGAATCTACCAATGGGTCCATTTTTTATTGGTTCTGTTTTATTTCGTATTTTTATATCTAATACTCTGGCAACAGTATTAAAGATCGAGACTACAGCGCCATCTAGTAAAACAATATGTAAAGAGAGAAAAAAAAGTTTAACGCGGAAATACGTGGCGACCGAGAACGGCGGAACCGCGAAAAATATGAATAAGTGTTTTTTCTCTTGCCGCTAATATTTATAATACGTGACCGTTTTACTTTAGGCTATCATATGCGCAGATATTATTAACATTTTATAGTGATCCATAGAGGTTACGCAAGGAAGCTACTTTCAGTTCTTTGCGTGGTATTACCCGAAGGCAACAAGGCTATAACTTGAAAGTTTACCTTACAATGTGTTTTCGTCATCTTTATCCTTTTATATGATCTTGTTAAGCATTATTACTGTTAGAGGCGCCGCGCTATGCGAGCTGGCCGGCACAGCATGCGGCACGAGCACTGGAGGCTCGCGCCAGCCAGAGCTAGCGTGGGATACTTCTTCGTCAGAGCAACCACCCCAACGGTCACCCCGTTAGCTGGCCCCGTTCTTGTCTCTCGTGCCGACAGAGGACCGCAACAAACGTCCTGACAGTGTATTGAAATGTAAATGTTTTAAGCAATATTTGTATATCCCGTCAATAAAGGGCTAAAGCGAGCTCACCCCTGCTCTCTGAAGGGCTGCCCACATTGCGATAGCAGCCATTGTTCCAGTACTCAAGCGATACCGACAGGGAACAATTTACCATCCCCTTGGTTGAAAGCATTCCGAAGCTTCCATCAGAATTTTGAATGTATTTTCCCGTCACATTTCTGAAATTCTTCCAGGTTTGTAGCTCTGAAGTCCTCAGCAGTGCATGTTGATGCGTTGTGACGCTCCCCCACCATGGCCCTGGACGCCATACGCACTCCTCGTTGAAGATGTGGACTAGCCACTAATTGCGGGGCCTTCTCGTTGGGCAGTATCAGCTCACCGGATTGCGCTTTGCGCTACTGGTGCGCCTTCATTTAGGGTAGTTCTAATTCACCTGTTGGCCACCAGAGGGGCTTCGCATTACGATTTCATCCCTCGGAGGTTTTTTTTTTTCGTTTTAATGCTGAAAAGTAAAACAAACTAAAATCTTTCCACGTCTAAAATTGGCTAGATTCAATGCTGTAAAAGAATCGAACGTGAGAGCCACACGCCACCACCACTAGGGTTCGCCTCTCCTCTCTCTGGCGGTTTCTCTTCAAGCTCTAGAGCGCGTTGAACGGCGTCTCCCGGTTGAGCTTATAAGGCCCATCCACAGAGTTGCGTTTGGTATGTTTTCTGTGTTACGTTATGGGTCACCGGTACATCCACGGTACGTGTGTCTCGTGCCAGGCTACTTTTCGAATTGCTTGTCACGCTTCTTATATGAGCGGATGACCCGCTGATTCGCAAGGTAAGCAGACAAGCTCCCGTAGGATAACAAAATTGTAAGGAAACGATACTGTATGATCTTTCCTTTAGCATCTTAGTTTTAATCTGTGCTAGTGCGGCGTTTGGAATTTTGTTGATCGTTTATGTGTTTTTGTCATCACGTGTAGCACGAGGGCATGTACACCGTTACACGCGTGACAGCGTCAGACGCTCAAGTTCGTTACATATTGACCCTGTAAGTGACATTAGTGCTCTTAAGAAATTGTTGCGAGCGGCGGTGTTTGAACACGCAAGTGAAATTGGAGATCGCTCCTAATGACCGACCATTAAAAATTAGAAGTTACATTTAAACGTGTTAAAATATAGAAAGCTTAGATATAGGACCCTTTTATATCATACTTATCACGTCAGAAGTTTGCCGAGCATCGTATGCTTTTGTCGAATTGGCAACGTCAACGTCCGGTCCTGGAGACGTCACGGTGAGGCTGCAGCAAACATCGAACACTAGCAGAACGTCAGACCGTAGGAGTCGCACGTCTTCCGTAGTCACTGATATGGTGGGAGCTAGGTCGTCACACTCCAACAAGTAGAAGTGAGTAGTCTAGTGTAAAAATAAACGATAAAAAGAAAATTGAATCCTCCGCTTGCTCCACCTAGCACACTTGGCCATACTGCATTTCGATTGCAGAAGCCCTATGCCGGTTGATTTGGGTTCCATATTGTATTTTGGAATAACCTAAAACACATGCCATGCTATTTAAAACACAACATTAAGAGAAAAAGAAGCATGTAGTAACAAATGTATGATTGTGATATTTTTTTAATAAAGCATAAACATAATGAACGACGCGAGAAGGACAGAAACATGCTTTGCCAGATTTCTCTCATCACGTAGCTTACCAGCGGGCACCACTGACGCTTCATTTCCCTTCGTTCAGCGTTTCGTTTACCATGATTAGGTGGTAGTAGTATGGTGCCTGGAACGCGTCTCCGACTGGTGTGTTTACCGCGTCCAAAAAAGTGGTCCCTCGATTTCCGCCTGATGACGTCATAAAAGTGTCATGCTGTCGCCGGTCGCGACCCTGGCGGCGTCCCAACGGCCGTGGTGTATGTAGCAGATGCCTGTTCGGCTACAGGTCGCTTTCCACTGTGACAGTTCACGGAAGCTCTAGCAGCCGGAGTTGGGACGTCTAAAGGGACGCCGTGACGACAGCGACACTCACATTCGCTCGTGCTTTTCGCCAGCATTTCTACGGCCAACCGCCAGGATCGCGACAGGCAACAGCATGACACTCGCGTCATTTGTTGCCACATCGGGACCACTTTTGATGTATGGGCGGGATAGGGCGCTAAACACACCAGTCAAAGACGCGATCCAGGCACCATAGTAGTAGAGCAGGCCACTGGGCATCCTATTCGACAAACACATGAATCCTACGTTCTCATAGTTTTAATCAGTTCGACGTTACGTTTGCGAATTTCACGTTCTGGTAAATTTCACGGCACTTTTTTTTATCAGACCAAGTAGTGCCCCCGTGCGAAGTAAAAAGGTTGTAAGGCAATCGTCAAGCAAAGGGCGGGGACTACAAAACCTCCTCTCTGTTGTTTTCATATTATATGTGAATATATATGAACCGGATTTTGCGGCAAGGAGATATCAGGCTTGCATACAGTGTTCAGCTTAGCAGCCAAGCCAATCAAGTTTTGATGGGCGGAGCCTACAGTAAGGTATGAGTTGAGAATGGCTCCTCCAAAACTGCTTTTTGGTGGCGTAATGATTGTACAAATATTTTAGCGAAACTTATTTCACGAAATGTTTGTGTTATCTAGGCACTTAACAAAATCAGGGTGCACCGTTTCTTTTTGAGCAACCATCGAGAAAAACGTTCCTTCTTTAATAAACTCTCTCTCCTACATCTTTTTTTATTAAAGATAGGGACATTGGACCATGCAAGCATCGGATTCACTTTGACTGTAAACATGGAGACGATCTATACTATTCGTTTGATTACCAAAAAAAAGAATGCCGGACATTAAATGGCGACGAGTGTCCTCCCGGCGGAAACGCATTCTACTCACTACGCGACTGCTATCAGCGTTGTGGAAGTAAGATTGTTTTGATATTTTACTTGAAAAACTAATTTATTCATGGAAATATTCTCTGTAAGCAATTTGGAGCTATTAAAAGATTTCTCATTACGACAATATTTTTGCTACTTTGAAAAATTTAGTATTTATTGCAGCTATATTCGTTCTCTTAGAAATGTTTATTAATTTTTACTGAAATATATCGTAGAGTGTAATGTAGGAACAAGACATCTGGTCAGGCTGTCAAGTTTTAATTATTGTTGTAGCGTTGTCAAGACACGCGTGTGAGGGCCGATAGAATGGAGGTACCTTTTGCTATCTCGCCCATTATCTGACACAGTCTAATTATTGGCTCTGCGTCTACTTTACACGGCGTACTCTTGGTTTTATGACTGGTATGTACAAAAAACGCCCAGTCAAGTACGTGCACAAAACACAATGTTTTAAACTGTACCAAAAAAAGAAAGCGGGATTTTCAAAGCGTTTCAAAGCAAAGATCTGCTTCAGCCGAAAAAGTGGTTCATCCATATGATTGATTGAGTGCTCTGGTTGGTTCAGCCCGTGTTATACCGGGTGTTTCGGAGAAAGCTTTGAAAAAACTTATAAAATCGGTTGGTCGAGAAAAATACTAAACCCGTTACGGAAGCAAACTCGTAGCCTTGGCGGACGTCAATGTTCACAACCACATATTTAATATATAAATAATTTACAAAACGTTACCAATTAACGTTTTTATCAGTGAAAATAAGCATATGGTTGTAACTAGAAACTCAATATGCGTAAATTAAAATCACTAAATCAACTAATTTTATAAAGACACAAAGCACCGGAAAAAGACGTTGAATTTGGACGCGTTTTTCGGTTTTGCTTTTTTTATCAGAGCGGATCTTTGCGCCAGCGGCCCTGCACCAAGTGTCCAAGTCGCGGAGTAACCACCTCGCCTCCCTCGTAGGATGGAAGAAAGTGTAACACACGTGTATTGCGCGCCTTGGACTAAGGAATATGAAACTAAAACCTAGAAAAGCATCCAAATAGAACATATTTTTTTAACGCCGTAAGATGTTGTACCTGCCTTATATATTTCTTAAGTTAGTTGTTCCAGTATTTTTGATGATGCTCATCAAGCCACTAATTGAATGGATACGTTCATGTTTACAAACTACAATATATTTAATCAAATTCTTGTTACTTATTCAGCCACTTAGTATATTTTTTTCAATCCCTGCTGTCCGTCATAACTGGGATTTTCTTCCCATAACGATTCACACTTTTCTCAATCGCCTTACTTTTAGGTACCTTAGAAAGTATCCGCTGAAATACCAGGTGTGTGAAGTCAACCCAGGGAAAATTTTAGAGCACATTGAAATAAAAGATAATTGTAATTCACGGGGCTGTATTAAACGGATGAAGTTAAATTATTTTAGGGAGAATATGTTAACTAAAGAAGAAAAACACATGTAACAGCGAATTAAATTCCACAGCGTCCTGTATTAACATAACCTTTGTAGTGCGAAATAATGCCAGCTATTTTATAACTCGCTTTGATTACAAAAATATAAACTTGGCATTACGAGGTCGGAAAAATACTGAAAGTTGAAAGATTTTTAAACTCTGTTTTTTGTGTGTTAATTCACTAGTGAGGATTTTTGTGCAGCTTGCTTTTAGCAACCACAATATGACCTTCATCTCTGAATAAGTTGAAATTATATAATGTGTATTTGCTTAATATAAGCATTCATTAGCACCGGTAGTCTAAATTTACCGGTAATATTTTACTGGAGCAGTTGTCCACATATACGCCCATTCCTCGTTCGACCAATGGCTTATTCCCATGTTTTCATGAGCGCAATCTGGAAGCATGACCACAATGGTAAATAATATATAATATTCAGTGCTTAATGGTATATAGGAGCGTTTTAGAATGATTATAAACTGCCGCTATAAGAACCGTGGTGTGCGTTTTTATTATATGAAGGACGTATGTCACGTTCCAAGCTTATATTAAGCTACAGAATACTTGCTCGTCTTTTTTGGCGGTTCGCACTTTAAGTTATGCGCAATCGCTTCTTCTTGTTCCCTCGCCCTCTCTTACCGAACAGCACGGGGTACAATGTTTTAGATCTCCAGAGTCAATTTAGGTAGTGGTTGCAATTATGCTATATAAAAATTGATTTGTTTCAGGATTTGTGGAAAATGTTTGCAAGCTTCCAATTCAAAATATGAGCTTTTGCAGTACATTTGAGAGAAGGTACGGTTACAACACCAACACACAAAGGTGCGAAGAGTTTCGAGGCTGTCCAGACATTGGGAACAATTTTGATTCTGCGAAGAAATGTTGGGACACTTGTGCGGGTAAGTGCACAACTACGTTCGACGCCGTGATATTGTTATTACCACTATTTTGTTTCTTGTGGCGTGCGCAAAAGTTATTTATTTTAATCCTAGATCGTTTACTTAATGGTACGCATTATTCAAAGGTTCTGGATTATCAAATTTACGGGACAATTCCTCCAAAATCTAAGGGTAATTTTATGACTTGGTAGATAACTATATCGTAACCTGTTCTTGCTGAAATCATGTTAAACAGCAGAAATATCTTCAGCGATAAATATTGCCATGTGCACTTGTAGCTGTAGGGAAAAGGGTTCCTTGCAAATGCAAGGAAAGCTTCTCCGTACACGTTGAAGACCCGTGTTTACTCTTTCCCCACATGTAAAACATAAGGAGGCCAACATAACCTCACAGAGCCCGTCTCGCCCAAACTCACTTCCGAACCTTTTAGGTCGAATCTTCGAGATACCGAATGTAGTATTTAAGGAGCCGGTCTTTCATTCAGTCTAGCGCTAGCGAGCTGTCACACCGATGCGTCGACGCTCGCTGGAAACTTTCTCGACGTTTTTTTGTTGCTTTGTCTCTGGCACAAGTTCGGCCCTTAGGCCTTCATCTTCAGTTCATCATTTATCGTCTCGTCGCCCTCACCCGTGCCGATATAACTATCGATTTCTGTTACCTAACTTCGCGTTACCTATGCAGGGTTTTTAACAGACACTGGCCAATGTCTCACCGGCGAAAAGTACAATATCGCACACCAAAAAAAGATTGATGTAATATCGATATTTGTCAAAAGTCTCCCTAAAAAATTAGCAGCGTGCAGTATTTTGGATTCTTAAATACTCTTTGATAATTTTGTTTTGTAGATGTAAAGGCATAGTTTTCCATATAAACGTTATGGGCATAATTGAAAACCACTAAATTACCGCGCTTCTAAAAAATGTAAGGCACGCGCGGCGTTTTACGGAAGTCCACGAAAAGAAATCCTAATTTGGGCGGGGTACTCGAGTTCCGAACTCGAATTAAATAGCGATTATCAGATTAATTAGATTCGATTTTTGGGTTCATAGTACTTTTTTTTGCGAGAAATTCACTACAACGATTACCACTACTGCTGGACAAAATTTGAATTAATACAAGAACGCTATGTTGTGGTGACCCAAGGCAGCGTTAAGTAAGTAATTAAGTACACAATAAAAAGATTTTAATGACCAACAATTTTCATAATAACTACTTAGGGCCTTCTGTATACCTTGAACGAAACAGTATAGCACTCTTCAAAAACCACGCAGGTATCAACTTTCATGTTTAAGGAAAAGATAGTTAACGTGGCCAATATCTTATTCTAACAAGAGTAATTTTGAATGCCAGTATCTTGCACCACGTACGGCGTGTTCTCTGCACTACAGACCTACAACCATTTTGTGACGTTGTAACCCCCCCCTCCCCCCATTAATTTGAGATCAGTGTTTGACAACCCAATACTCCGTTTACTCTAAGCTGATAGTGCGGTGGAAGCTACGTGCTCGTTGCGCCAGTCCTACGTGGATCTTTTTACAAGTAATCAGGCTGATAACTGCACCCAAGCACAGAAAACGGTGTCGTTTAACAAAAGGCAGGCGGTTGATGTATCCGGCGAGCCTGTAGCTCCCACCACACTGTCAGCATATATGAGTGAATGGATCATAGTAACGAAATTGTGGAAACGGGAGTGAAATCCTCCTCCACCCTCCCACAGCCCAACCATCTCTCGAATACTTCCGACGCCACAATTTTCAATTCCTACATCTATATTATGCAAATGAATTACCAGTATATGAATAATATCAATAATTAAACCCGTCATTACGTAACCCGTTCATGACGTCAACCGGGGTGCAGAGGTAGGGAGCACAAGGCGTCCGCCGATTCCAATGATTCATGCGTATCCATGCCTGAATGGGTGAACAGGTGCTCACCTGCCTCCCCAAGTTGGTCGTTGTCATATTTCGGCTTTTTATTTTTATTCATGCTGGCTGCTTTTTGTTCCGTGTTCTCTGCGGGAGAGTAAACATGTAGGCGTTTGATCATGGTCTGCGTGCTTCCATTTCCTTTTTATTTATGTGTATTGCAAATAAAAGTCATAGTCTTGAATATAACATTCGTCATTTGACCTTTTAGCCACTACTTGACGCGATTCTATGCAAATTAGATTCGAGCTGAAAATTTACTACTCCCATACCTCCAAAAAAAAGGCTAAATTTGGAAATTTGGACGCGTTTGCGGTTTCGCTTTCCTCTCAAGACTCATCTTCACGCCAGCGATTCTTCTCTTCCTCTTTTCCCCGCCACCATCCCCACCCTTTTCTCCCGTCTTTTTCCCCTCCTCCTCCCTCCTCCTTCGCCCCCAGAAAAAACAAACAAAACTTTACTATGAAAATATATTCTAAGACGCGAACGTATGCGGGTGAGCTGGTCAGGAAACATCATATTCTAAAACGTGAGGCCCGGATAATTAAGATAACGGCTAAGACGAACAAACAAAATATCAAGAAATTTTAAGACTGCGTCGTCTTGTCCGATATATGATTGTTCCGTCTCAGGGTTTAGATTATATTACATTCGACTCTGGTCACTTTCATTAGACAGCGCGCCTATAGCACCAAACCCTCCCCCAATGGTGAACAGAGCACGTTTTGGAGAGAACCTGTGCGTACAGCGGTACCCACGCTGTCGCGCTTTCGTGCTGCGCTGAGAGAAAGGGCGCCAGGCAATGCAGTGAGATACCGGATTCACCAAGATAGCAGAAGCACATGTTTCCGCTGTCTCGAAACCTGCCCGCGACGATAGATGGCGGCAGCCACTTCACCTAATATAGAGGGCAAAACCAAGAGACTGTGCGCGTCCAGTCGTTAGTACAGAGCAATAACTCTCGGCGCCAAGACTACTGTGTTTTAGCGGAATATATTCCCTAGTAGGGTATTCCGCCTAAGCGCGTAATCATCGCATACCTGGACCCCCTCCCCCTTCCGCAGGAGAGAAGGAAGCGGTGCGCAAACTGGTAAAATGGAACACTGTGCCCTTCCAATGAGATTGAAAAAGTAAGCCTTGAGTCTGGGATTCACTTCCGTCATTCGACGAATGCGTGGCTGCGCTCGTTAGTGGCGCGCTTTGGCCACGAGGAGCCGGACCGCTGGCGCTCCGATAGGAACACGAAGTCTACAAGTGCGCCCAAAATTAGTATATTTTTACGCCTCAAAACGCTGTCCGTACATTATGTCATGGGAAGAGTACAGGGGGGGATCGGGTGGCCGAGCTGTCTAGCGCACACCAGTTCGGAACACGTGGAGCGAAAGCTCGCGCTGCAGAACCCAGGATCCTGGGTTCAATCTCCACCCCTGTCCGTTTCGATCTGGATGAGCATCGTACCGGCTTGCGGTTGTGTATCACTACTGCGTGGTGCACGTTAAAAACCCCAGGCTAGCGGTTGCACCAAAATGGCTAAATTGCTCATCTACGCCTGAGACATCAGACGCCCACCGAGGCAGACAGCTTCCGGCTGTATAAACATACACAAAACAATTTGATTTGCATTATATGTCTGCACAATGATCCTATTTGGTGGTTTTCGCCGATGCCTATACCTTTTCTAATTGAAATATCTTTAAAATTAATCATTAGAAAGTTAATTACTCAAAACTGATTAGGAACCTAATTATACCGAATGTTGTACATTTTTCTACATAGGTCCTTTAAGAAAGACCATTAATATATCCTCTCTTTTTCTGCACAATTCGCACGATGCTAAAGTTGAGGCTTGGGCGAGTTGGCACATACTTCGGAATTAAGAACAGCGCGGAAAGACGAGGACCAGGCAAAGAAGTGACACGGACGTAGCGCTACGTCCGCTACAGCGCTACAACGCTGCGCAGTGACACGGACGTAGCGCTACAGCGCTACGTCCGTGTCACTGCGTAGCGTTGTAGCGCTGTGCGGACGCGCGTAGCGTTGTAGCGCGTAGCGTTGTAGCGTTGTAGCGCTGTAGCGGACGTAGCGCTACGTCCGTGTCACTTCTTTGCCTGGTCCTCGTCTTTCCGCGCTTCTTTTAATTCCGAACAATTAGTACATTTGGTATGACTGATGTGGACAGCATTCCGTGAAACGTCCTGTATATCTAGAGTTACAAATCAAGAGGCTTACGCTAAAACTAGGAAAATCTCCGCTTGCACTAACATGCTCATATTTCCACCGGAGGTGTATTTTTGTGGTGCTTTTTGAGTTTCAAACTTTGTGACGTAGCTTTCCTGTAATAAGAAAACTAGACCAACACTCTTGCCATAATAAAGAACATACGCCGAAAAAGAAAATTGAATTAACCAAAGAACTCGAAAGTTGAAGGTGCGTCGCAATCTCCTATTAGACAACGCAAGTATACGACGGTATTGTCTGCTTTTGACCGAGTGCTGTTGTTTGCTTGCCACGCTTATCTGGAAATCGTTGCATGAATCGCCGTTGCAAGTGTCAAGTGTTAGTCTATACTTTTAAAGGCACTCACTGATTGCTCTTGTCTTTAGTAACTCCCTAAACTTCACAATGTCAAGTACACCATTAAAATACACTATTGACAAAAGCTTGAGCTTGTTACGTGGAGGTGCCGATTTTTTTGGTTGGTTTAAGAACAAGCTCCTCAATACATAATAGCTGATATATAACCTCTCCAGGTGTCTGGTTCTTTAATTGTACTGTTTAACAATCGCCGAATTCAACTTACAACACTTGTATCACTAATTCATTTACAAAAAAAAAGAATAGTTTAAAATATAACCTATTCCCATTGCACGTCAGAATCCAACGTTTTATTTAATCACCTTTGCATACTTAGACTCAGGGAAAAAAATAAAACACAAAATTTCAAAGATGTTCAATAGAATAGTAACGGGAAAAAGCCCCTTGCCAATAGCAAAATGCCCAGATGAAGGAGAACTTTATCTGGCCATTTTATTCTCCCACAATGTCACAACATGTGCGGGAAAGTACTGATCCGGTTCGGTGAAACGAATATCTGGAAGCATCCCAGCTTAACGAACTTCGAAGTTCAAATAAATTTAGCCTAGCCCTGAAGCCCTACCTTTTACTTTCATAAGTCGCTTTCACCCTCATAACTATATTCTTGGTTTGGTGAGATCGATATGGCTCCTATGACTATGTAAGTATTGTATATTTTTGGTTTAGCTGTATGTCCTTATAGTTTCTTAATAACCTGTATTGCTCAGATGGCTTGTTTTAATGAACCCAAAATATCCAAATATGGCTATGGGTTCATCAGATCAGCAACATGTATGTGGCTCACTGATAATGAAACAAATTGAATTGAAATGAATTGACAATCTAACAAACCAGGTTAGATTTGGCAATTAAAGGGTTCAAATTAAAAATTAATATGAAGGACATAGGGACGTCACATATCAGCTCAGTTATTTGGATCATTGAATTGACACTGACCTTTTTCCAAGAGAAAATACTTGTTTAGAAAACCAGATACTACCGTGAATAATACCTCATTTTTTAAATTTATAATACCTTCAATAATTATGTAGTACGTTACTAAAGTACTTACAAAATACAATATGAGATTGTACAAGCAGTTAACGTACTCTGAACACTTTTAAACCTTTTTTTAACAGAGAGTAAAAACCCTTGTGTCATGCAACCGGATTATAAAGTTCGTTTCATCTTTACTACACGCTACTACTATGACATAAATACCCACAACTGCGTGGAAACTTCCCTGTTTCGTGGCCAAGTTACTGGGCATTCTAACTTGTTTAAGACAAGTCATGACTGCAAAAAAGCGTGCATGGGTAAGATTGATTTTCCACAGTGGCTTGTCAAAGTGAAATTTTGACAAACTACTACGAATTGGTTTAACAAATATTTCATCATCGATATACCTCCCTGCGCAATTACTTATTTTTTTTTTTTATGTGAGAGTTTACTGCCAACAAAACCGAGAGAATTAGTTCAGGGCTTACTATTTTAAGGCTCATAAACAAATTGTGCTTCACTTCAAATTCAAAATATTTACGTAATATATGATATGTGCAAATGCCGATGCATATCAATCTGTAAACGGCTTGGCCTGATTGGAGTAAATCGTAAATTAAGCAAACCTTTGGACGTTTTTCTGGCGTTTATTTGACTGTGCAGAATTCGAACAGATTTACGAAATGTGTTCTTTAACTTACAAATATTTTCTGACACACATGAACTCATTATTATTTTTGTCTACTTGCTTCTTAATTTATTCTCGTGTTTTGGTGACAAATTCATTATATAAGAGACAGCTACGAATTCCCTTGATTTTATTCGAATATATTCTTCGCACAATGTCTAGTTATTGCCTATTGTCATCTTAAAAGAATGCACCATTTGCAAGGGCACGTGTGGACTGAGACATAATAAATTTTAAAAACAATTATACGCACCAAACATAATGAGCCGCTACAAATTCTGTCGTGTTTATTGATCTTGTGACTGAATATCAAAATGCCACTCATAACGGCCATTCTAAACTGCTGAAGATGTTGTAGTGCACTAATAAGGAACACGAGCCTGATATATTCAAATTTTAATGTATATTTTCTCTCCCTAGCAACTTATGTGTTAGAGCCCGATTGGTAATTAAAAAACATGTAAGCCTCAAGTTATATAAAAAAAGCGGCCTTGCCTAAGGAACAGATCTCTGTTTACGTCTACTATTGGATAAACCAATCAAACACCGAAATACAGAAAATAAGCTGTTTCTGATGTAATAAGGCGTTGGCAATAAAAATACATATGTTGACGGAGTATGTTTCAAACCTCGATAATAATTTAATAAAAATAATGAAGGGGGATGTGTTAAATAAACTTCGTAGCTGAGTTTTGGGACAATACGGTGTTCGTGTTTTCTCGCCTTGTGCTTTTCTGACGGTATAATCACTCACTAGCTTGCTTGCGTGTTAACCCTTTCCTAAGAGCCTTGATTATTATGAGCTTAAAGGGACACTGACAGGGTATTTGTGCTCGCCCAGGTTTTTGTTTGAACATGACGTATAACAGTTTAACCATTCATAACATAATTGGCGGATCGAAATTAGTTTTTGTTCCGCCCGCAAACAGCCGGTTAAGAATCGATCGGTTTCACTCGCGCTCACTCTCCTTTTTATGGTCACGTGGCGTTCAAGCTATGTGTACCTAATATATTCAAAGTCATTGGTCATCTAAGACGCACATTTCTTATTAGAAATAAGAAAGAAAATGAACATCCTCTTTGTGGCCTCCAAACAACTGCAAAGACGTTAATTGAAAAAAAAAAAAAAAAGAAGCTTCTGAGGACATTTAAGCACTTCTGAGTTTTGAAGGCGAAAGCATAAATGTCGTTCTTCCGCTTCCTTAGTTCGTCTGCACGTACTAGCGTGGACGGTCACGTTTTGCTACTGCCGAAAGAGCAGCGGACGGCCGAGCGCGCGCTCTCGTGTGAAGTGGCAGCCCGCGCCGAACTCGGCCGTGCAGCCTGTCAGGACTTTTTCCGCGTGCCACAATGGAGAGGGATTCTCTGGTGCCGTTCCTTGGAACTACGCCGCGCGAAAGCCAATGGGAGCCTCGTTCCTTGCAACTATGACGCGCGCCAGCCAATGGGAGCCTATCTATCAGTTTTCCGCTACAGACAACAGGCTTCGTTTGCTCCATTGGTAGAGGGGAAGGTGCCGTTTGGCGCGGCTTGAAAACCTGATGCCGTCGATTCGCTCCATGGGACAGTTATGCTTTCGCATTAAAAATCTTCCACAGGTCACAGGAAGTACATGTACACGTCATTTTCAATATGACGACGTACCGCGGGTAGAGAAGGCTCGACGACGCTATAGAGGCACACGACGGACCAACGTTGCGACGGACGTGGGGTTGCTACTTGGAGACTCGTTCGTCGTACCAGCCTCCAGATCTTCGAGCCCAGAACATCGAGCCGAAGAGAAATAAGTGCGAAACAATCGCACGTGCAAACAGTGCACGCACATTTGTCGTCCTCATCGTCTGATTTACGCGCCGGAGAACCCGAGTAAAAAAACGCAGTCGGGTGTAGCCACGTGACGTACGGCCATGAGCTTTTGTGCTCTTGTTTCATTTTCGTTTTTGAGCCGTTGATTTTTTTGTTTACCTTATTAAAAATATACGTTGCTCTACAGCAAAATGTTGAATGGGTTGTCTTCTAACGTCATATTAAATCGCCTGGCAAAAAAATAAAATTTTTTGGAGGTGTCAGTGTTGCTTTTTATTGCTTATATATTTATTTACGTTCAGACATAAACTTCTTGACCCATCTCGAGAATAATTATATGCGTTGAGACGCTAATTGTTTTAGGCTAAGTGCTAACTATTTTGTAAACTACCGAGATGCACAATCTATTGGTCACAACGTTAAACATTTCCAAAGGACATTGACACATGATCTACACAACGCAGTAGGAACACAAAGAATATGTCCTCGCTTGTGTCGCCAAGCATATAGTGGGGACATTAAAATAAAGGAAAATTAAATAGACAGGAAGGATGACATAAAAAGATGTCATTATCTCTAAAACAACACATTTTCAGAAAGGTAAAGCGCTATAAGTATATATTTACTACATGTTGAAACGTTTTTAACGTTTTTCAGATATATGTCTGACACTCCTTCCTTACGTTTGCGCATTTTAAAACTACCGCTTGTAACAGACATACGCATCTTTGATGCCTTTCTTGAGGAATTATGCATTGGCTCAGCTATAGAGCACGGGGAGGAACGCTGGTGCTACGGCAAGACAAAGTTCATGCGACTGCACCAAACTGAAAGACAATGTAAAGGCGTTAAAAAATTGGTCTGTTCATAGTTGTACTATGCTGCATAAATTTCCCCAGAACCACGTGTTGATGGCACAAAAAATGAGAAGGGTGGGGGTTGAAAACTTCGCCGAGCGGCGCTTGAGAGTCGAGTGAACTGCCCGTGCCGCAGAGGACGCGGGCTCGGCCGCTCGGATGTTGTCCCGAGCGATGCGCGAAGGTTGTGGAATCACTTGTGACTGGCCTGGAGCTGAGCTGGTTAATTTGACATGCTTCTGAAGGTTTCCAGCTGAACATAGAGGAAAAAACGCCGGAGCAATACAAAAGATACAAACACTGCTGGAGTGTCTGTCTCTTTTTCTGGGTATGCTTCACGTTAAAAGGTGTGGTGGTAAGCCAGATTCTTTTTATGCGCCTTGAGAGTATGTCTTCTTCTTTGACAGAGAGGAGTTGTGGGCGATACAAAAAAAGTGCCATAATTTTGTTTGTCATTTAGTCACCTTAAGCTGCGGTCCCACAGGCGCTATGTCGAACAAATCAGTAGTTGAGCCGCCAGGGCGGCGATGCACGTCCGTTCGCCATAAAGTCCCTAGATGAGAGTCTTCGTTCAAGTACCGAAATTCTGTGAAGCGCCGACTGCGTGACTTTACAGATTTTAGGAAGCGAATGGCGGCGCACAACAGAGGCTTGAACTGAATGCCGCCATTTCGTTCGAGCGGATTCTGCTTTGTCATTTCTATTGGTTGTCTTTACTTGTAAAAGAAGTATCAGAGGACTTAACTTCGCCAGCATAAATGTTTGCGCACGACACCTGCACTCATCCTTCACATCTGTGCCTCTCAGCAGCCGCATGACGTGACTCAGCTCCTCAGAGTTTCACGCTGTCATTCTGCTCAGGGCTCCCGCGGCCTTGTTGTCACGCTATCCTTGATAAACAGCCTTTGTTATAAACAAAGGGCTCGATTTTTTATTTTATTTCTTTCTGGGAACAGAACCGCCAATTTCCTTGTTTGGCGGATTGAATGTTGTCGCCGTTCTTTCTTTATATACTAGGGCTGGGCGTCGATTAAACGTGTTAACCCGATTAATCGCCTGCTTTTAATCGATTAATTAATCGATTAATCGGTCTCGTTCATTTCCATGCAAAATGATATTGTTCAAAAGTAAAAATTGCATGTATTTTTTTTTTCTGAAGATGTGGTAAACGACGCAATAATTTCAACTATGAATCAGCTTCGATATACACTTGAGAACAGTTAAAAAACACTCACATTCAAATAATATTACCTCAGCTCCATGAGGTAAAAATGTTCATTGATATTCTCCGAAAACGGCGACCTCCTTTGACTGCTCCCAGCAGTCTCTGCTCCGCTAAATGGACACTCGCACGGCGTTGAAGTCGCTGAGACATGTGTAACCTTCTGCACTTGTGTGAAGTTACAAATTTCCTCCTTAGAGTTTACCTTAAAGGGGCGGTGCAACAATTTGCAGGCTTTGGCTAATTAATTGCAGGAATTGATCCCGGCCACATATCAAACGAAGGGCCGAAACCTATTCTTTCCTGCTTGCCCTAGTTTTCATTTTAAAAAAATAAAAGAAATTGATATCTCTGGCACCCCTCAACTCAACATTGAAGCGGCACCAGCTTCGCCTGTGACGTCATTCGGAGTGGCGTTGGTTTCCGGTTGGGTTCTTCTGGCTTCCGTTTCCCCAGCGCTCGCCGGCTCGCCGGGCTCGCCGCTCTCCCGCTCTCCCGCTGATTCCCGACCAACATGGCGGCATGGGCGGACGGCCTGAGCGACGTCGAGCGCAAGATGCTTGCGTATAGCAAGTCTTGGACTTGTGCGGCGGGCAGTCGACGCGGCGGGCAGTGGAAGTCGAAGTCGAGGTCGAGACACCACGATACTACGGACCACGACCAACGCACTCCGTCGAGCGAGGGAAAGACAAAACGTCCGGGTTGCTCGTGTAGCCGCCGTACGCGCCTCGGGCGTCGACAGATGACGGCGACGGCAGGTTTTGTTGACTTGCGGTAGATGGCGCCACAAGTAATTCATACCCTTTTAGTGGCAATATTAGGCTTTTGAAGCGTTTCTGCATGCCTAAACAAGAAGATTTTTTAAACTTAACCTTGAATCAAGCTTACAATTGCCTAACACTATCACTTACCACTCCGAATGACGTCAAACCACAGGTTCCATTTGCGGCCACCATGTGGCCGCAGGTTGGGAAAAAAAGCGTTTTTTTATTTTACGATTACGCAGCGAAATAGAGGTATTTTGGGGTATGGTGGCACTTTTTCTCTTACTTGTGCCGAAGTAAACAATATAAAAAAGTACAATCTGCACATTCGTTCAGTGTTAAAATCATTGCACCGCCACTTTAAAGGGGCACTGCAAGGAGTTTTTTACTGGCTTCAACTTGCACCGAACCTGAGCGAACTGAACGTAGTAACTTAATGAAACTTTTCTTTTCTAGAATTTCTCTTTAGTTTAAAAGTTATAGACAAATTAAAATTACAAAAACAAGCAAAAAATAACCTCCTTCATGACGTCATTGGTTGCTTGAGTGGCCGTGAACGGCCAAACAGCAAGCCAAGCCTGCGCCGAAGGCCTTCGGAACGCTCTGAACCGGTCGGATCCTCGAGTCCGTAAACGACCGCAGCGCCGCCGCGTACATCCGGGACTTCTCTACGCTCGCGCTCGTGAGAGCCTGATCCCACTAATCCTTTCTAGTATGCGCCGCCTTTTTTACCGCTTGGTGACGGGTATCTCGACGTGTCATTTCTGGTTTCCGTACTTTATAAACTGCATTTGTGTCTTTTCTGATCACAAATACTGAACAAAAACTGTTTTCATAAATAATTGAAACGGTTCGCGCCACTTATATTTTGTATTTCGACTAAAAAGAAGCTTTTAGCGGCTTTGACCAGTAGTAAGCCCAGGACCACAGACGTCATATCGCGCGCTTTCGGTACCGCGGATCGCCCCCGTGGGTGGAGGAGGTTTCCGCGTTGTCCGGTTAAAATATGACGCACTGATATCTAGTTACTCTCCCCGTGCCCGCTGGTTTGCCCGAACCCCAAGAGACATGGAAACCGCAAAAAAGGTGGACGCTTAGATATGGTTGCAGGGCCCCTTTAATAGCATTATGTGGCGATGTATATATATCCTCGTTCAATTTTTTTTTCTTTACTGTGCTTAATTGTTATGAACTTTGTTGTATTGGGTGTGCCAGTACAAGGGCAGCACGGTCGTTCATGGGCACCAAACAAAGCTGATTCTTGATTGATTGTTTATTATGTTTTATTATTATTATGAGTAGAGAGAAAAGCTAGGTCCAATTTTTATACATATTTGGAAAATAATTGCAAGAGTTTAATTTAGAAATGATAGCACTCAACGTTTACTCCTCTTTTACTAGACTTCGGCATTAGTTATAATTGGGTAGAGTATAACTATTACTGCGGGATGTTCTTCGCTGTATGCATTCACAATGACTTGTTGATTTTCTATTGCAGAACATGCATATCAGCTATACTCATCAAACTTTAAAAAGCTGACGTTAATAATATATGAAGGATATTGATCAAGGCAGACCTTTGATGTCCTCACCGTACATGTTCACATCAAACCTCATACGAATTGTCGCACAGCAAGACCACTGACATTACCCGCCATCTACCCAATTCGTACTATATTAGACTAACACTAGAGGATAAATTTGTTTTTGAAATTTGTTCCTGAACCTTATCAAATTCCCTTAAAATTACCGCTGATATCTTTCCTTATACATCACGATGGGTTGAATCCGTTTGACACATTCGATAGTGGCAACTGTTTTCTACACAATGTGAGTTTTCATTCTTTTCTAGGAAGAGTGCCAAAGATTCCTAAAGCAAATATCGTCATAAAGGTTTTATTTTGTGCAGTGTTTAGGTACAGCTTTTTTAACTGCACACGGAAGCTTCTAGACCGGCAGGTTGGCCGAACATCTGCCACATACCTTACGTATATCTTACGTTAAACATACCTTACGTATTGTTAAACGCGTCATTTGATTAACCTTTCTTTTGCCCCACCAAATGACGTCGTGAGTGCGTCACAAGTTCCCGACGCTAAAAGGAGCTGTAACTTTTTTTTTTTGCTTGAAAATGAAACTACCGTACGGCGAATTGTTTTGACTGTCTTTTTTTGTGTTCACAATTTTTGTATATGTTTTTCTACAGGGTAGATACAAAAGCTAGGTACGCGCAAAACTTCAAACATAAGCCGTTGCCTTACACCCCGCATCAGCGTAAATACAACTAGCAATGTTCATTGAAGTCGTGTGGATCCTCGCGACGGCAACAGGTAATTATTGTCTAATATTAATATTTTTCTCTCTAAATGTCTGTGCACATTCTTCTGTTTTAGCTGGGCGTGTCACTTGAAGACTGTTTTCTATTATATCGCCGAAGCTATGCACGCAGGCATGTTTCCTTTGACTTTAGAATGGCAAGGTGCAATGTGCGTCTGTTTTAAATTTAGTTATTTCAGACAGATTTTCTACCAACAGTTTTGTTTTGAGCTTTTTTTGAAGAAACGTATACTGATTATGCTCTATTATCACTTCATTGTTTTTGACTGCATATTACTGGTTTCAAAATAAATCTACAGAGCTGCTAAACTTTATTGTTAAAAAGCAGCCTGGATAACGTTTCTTCTACTTCGTGACTTTGACTTATATTTAATTGACAAATATCTTACTATGTTACTAAGTTATGCGTCATATGACTATTGCAGTTAATAGAACTTCACAAACTTTAAGCAGTCAAAAAATATGCCAAACTTAGTCTTTGATTCACCTTTGTTTCTGTAGCTTACTTTTCGCCTTATTGACATCACGCAGCAGTACACTGATGGCAATTGTACATAAACCTGTATATAAAAGTATTACCTGTATTTAGAGATAAGCATTACACAATAATTATAGCATTGCGATTTGGCCCAGCTTTTGAACAAGCAATAATTTTATTTATCATAGAACTCGATTTTTGATTAGATGATACAAACTTGGTAGTGGCTCAATAACAGCACATTCCATTTTCTTACGAAAAGCGCGGAAGTAACGTGGCGTAATTTGTACGAAAATATTAACGAACATTTTCGCAAAGGGTGCCTATCACTTTTTGTGTTCAGTATAGACAAATTTTATTTTCCTATATTCACAAGCAGCTCGCATGTCCTCCGAATAGAAACAATTGGCTGGACACAAAAGCCCAGAGAATTAGGTCTATGGGGCAAACACCTGTATCCTTAGACAACCGGGTGTTATATCCTATTTGGATTATTGTTCCTAACGTATATATGCGCTGAGAAACTGAGGGAGATGAGAACTCAAGAGGGCACGGGGACATCAGAACTCCGCGCTCTTGTTTAAATAATCAGTGGGTAAACCTACAACGAGTTGTCGTTATGTCCACTGTACTTGTGGAACGCGTTCGAATCCGAGAGAGCCCAATGCCGGAAAATGTATTTTTACCCGGAGGTAAATTTAAGTCTAAGAGTATGGGAATAAAATGTATTCGTAAAAATATTTAAATCTAAATATTTGTTCTTAAAAAGTGTAATTGGATTTGCAATGGGATACATTTTGCCTAAGCATTTTATATTTGTATTAAGGTACATTTTTGAAGAATTTTGCCAATCTCTGGCCAGAGCAATGAATCACTTCTAGTAAAAGACCCCAACTTGTTCTTCCAATATACACTTCTTCGTGGTTACGTTAGGGCTATAACTCGGCGTGGTATCTGCATGGTATCAGTCTCAGTAAAATGTAGGGTGGGTGACGGGGCCTTCTTTATTTCAAAGTATAACAAGATGTGCCAGCATTCTTGTCGATACAAACTTTGTGAGGCGGTTTCTCAAAGAAAGTGTGTGCAAAACGCGCCAGATGTACTCAAAACGCGCTCGAACTTTCAGGTTCTAGAAGCGTTGAACTTCCGTATGCTCAAATGCTCAAAACAAAACAAACAAGTTCAACAATAAGAAGCATCTCGAAGAAAAAATGTTAGGATATGGCATTTTCAGACGTTGTAACGGAACACTTTTTAACGCGCAACTGTTTCTTTTTGATTCTTGGGGTTTATTTGCACGTGTGTTCAAACAATTTGTAGACATGTGAGAGCGGAAATGAAGTAGACAGACGACAGTCATAAAAATATCAACAACATTTTTATATATGAAGGTCAAAGTCATTTAGTTGTGAGGAAACCAAGTCATCGTCAAGTTTTCGAAGATTTAACTCTGAGTTCTATTTATTGAGTAACTACAGGGTGTCAAAAAAAAAACATTTACAGGGTTGTTTTCTTATTTACCGCAAAAACAAACTAGGCATCGCCGAACGCTCATTGTCCGCCCAAAGGTAGCGCTAGAGGTCACAAGCAGATGCTTACGTTTCAGCCCGATCCGATACCTTACCCCAAAAATATGTGATTTTCTGAAAATTTCAATGGGGAAATGGAGCCCATTCTTGCCCGTTTACGGTTTCTGGTGCCGTAGAGCCCCATGCATTCAAAAAATCCGTCGGCCGCCATTTTCCCATCGAAATTTTCAGAACATTACTTATAACTTTTGAATAAGGTATCAGATCGGGCGGAAACTTTGGCATCTGGTTTTGACCTCTAACGCTACCTTTGGGCGGAGAATGAGCGTTCGGCGATGCCTAGCCTATTTATTTATATATTATTTTATTTTCCCTCGAGCACGAACAACGGAAAAGAGGTAGCAGGAAAAAAGAACAACAGAGAAATATTAGCACAGAAAATAAATACGTTTTTTTTTTCTTTTGGAGCGGAGTAGAACAAGCTAACAGAGAAGAGATTGGTGCGCAGTAATCAGGCCTGTAGCACATCAAAATTATACCCTATTCACACGATCGTAAAGGTCTATATTGGTGAGGGATCTTTATGGTCGGCGGTGAATCAGTTCATGATTCTCTGCGCGTGACGTGTTCTTTGCAACCCAAAAGCGCTGACTGATTCGCCGCTTGCATAGGGACTTACGTTAAACGTACCTTTATGCTGGTCGTGCAAATGGGGTGTTAGTCTCCTAAGCAGATCCTTTAGCAACCGTTCCGGTTATCTCCTCTTAAAGTATCCGTGGTTGAGTTGTCAGGAAGCCAGTGTTCACGAGCTAATATGAAAGTCCTGTTCTAGAAAAGACTAACCTAGTTACATAGGTAGTTTTTTTTAATCTGTTTACAAAAGGAAACATGTTGTAGGATTTCTTTAACTGCTTAGAAATCGAAGTGCCGCCTGTGACGATATGACAGGACACTACCCGTCTCGACAGATATAGTTGTTTTTATATTCACTGTGGTTGTCAAAGTGCGATGAGTGCTGTGTTAGCGATGTGAACGCGAGGAGAAAGAAACGAATGGAAAGTACAAGTTAAAGATTAGTATAGAAAAAAGAAAGAATTAAAGGCGAAAGAAAACAAAAATAAAATGAAACGACAACGACAGTTTTTACGGGGTCGAAGTTGAGCCAAGGTAAAGCGAACCGGTAGTGGGCTTCAAGCGCTGCCGTCTGCTTTCAAGAAGAGGGTACCCAGTCCGCAAAAATCGATATTTCTGGAAACCTCGAGAAACTTCCGAACGGATTTCAACCATGGACGAGAGCTGTTAAAGGGGTAGTGAAACGAAATTTTAGCGCCGATCTTGTTGCATAAATATGGGCTAGGGACAGGCACCACCTCGGAAATACAAATATTGCGCTGTAAAACACAGGAGAACTAATTTTAAACATAATTAAACGATTTCAAATTCTCATCTGGTGGATGGGGGGAAGTTCTCGTGACATCACTTGTGCCAAAATAGCAGCGCCGTTCTGCGGCAATACGGCGTGCCGGCAGAATTCACCTAGGCCTGAACGCGTTTGCAAAGCCTTGGCGGAGAAAGCCAAAGCGTAGTTGGCCACAGTGAGCTCGTTCTCGTTGCGGCTCTTTGCACGACACGGCCCGAGCATGCTTCTGGCACGGCCGGTATTAGTTGCTGCGAGTCGCGAGCTGCAAGCCGACGTTAAAAAGGATATGTTTGAACTACGAGGGTGTCAGCAAGAGCCACGCAAATGCCAAATACCTGTTCACACTCGAAGCGGACGCGCGCGTTTGATCGAAGTGCTGGATTCGCTCTGTTAGACCGCGTTTCGGTAAGCGCTTCTGGACCGATCTTTTACGATTGCAACTCGATACTGACATGACACTCGGCAAAGAAAGGTTAGACCGACATCGCGTAGCTCCCACGAACTGCTATAGCTCGACACTGACGTAGCGTCGAGTCAGAATAAAAATGGCATACTAATAACAGAGCGTACATACCGAGTTGCCAAGGTAATCCGTATGGCGTTTATTTGAGTTCTATATCACACAAAACAAGGAGATAGAATCAATGAGAGTCCCTTTTCGACGACAGCGTTCGTCACCGCTGTCTCGGAAAACAAGGAGATCGAGATGACAAGGGGAAAATATTGACCTCTGAAATTTAGTTCAGGGATCAAACTACTCATCCGGTAAGGGTCCACAAGGGTCGCGCGGGCATATTCCATTCAGCAGGCCAGCCGGTCATGGACAGACGGTCTTGGCCAAGGACCGCCGGAGCAACGGTGCGCCGAGTCGATGTTGCTGCTAGGCCTACTATATTCTGCCGAGCTCGCTCGGTCGGCAGAATCGTGGCTGCTGTAGCTCTTCTCGTGTGTTTGTGGATCCTGCGTTCTTGATCGTCGTGGTCTGTTTTAAGTACTCCTTCCTTTTTTCTTGCTGGTTGAAGTCGGGACGCACGAGAAGAGCACGAAGAAAAATAAATGTCCGTTGGTGGCCGATACCAAGTAACTGAGCGACGCTGTCGGCCTTGTTGATGTGATCGTAAAAAGTGCGTAAGACAGCTTCGGAGATGTCGTAGGATTCTGTCGTAACCTGCGCAAAGGTTACGACAATTTCGTTTCGAGAGCACGGGTTTTCTCTCAAATTTGTCGTACGCACTTTTTTCGTCGTGAATTCGCTTTGAGAATCCGGCCTCAGAGCTGGTTTTGTCAGTGCTGCCGTGGTTGCCGACTTGCCGTGGTCGCCGTGGCAGCCGTGGTCCCGTGGTGCAGCGTGCGTGCAGCCCTTGCACATCTCAAACGGCCACGTTGTCACAGGTCGTAAATCGTCGACGCGCCACCAAGTGGCAACGCTCGTAACCACAACATTCACGCCGTAGCCTTTCCCGACCGGCACAAGTGACGTCACGAATGCGCCCAATATCCCAAGACGCATCGCGCTCTCCGATGGCCGATTTTTGAGCGCGCGCCCAATCGGGCCCATCAGGGTGAAAAATATAGCCATCCGTTCAAAATACAAACGCGCGATTATGATTTATGAATATCATTGATCATAATGAACCTATTGCTGACCAAAATAGGTGTATTTCAAGTTTCGCTTCAGTATCCCTTTAAGGCCGACCCACATAGGGCGTATTCTCGACAAATTTACGCGTCTATCGGCGGGCGTAATCACGGGATTTGGCGGGCGCCTTTTTCACAGGAGGTAAGAGGGGAAGGTCGCCAAACCACACACGGCGCTTTTCGTCAACGTCTGCTCGTCAATGCAGATTGTTGGGCTAGTTGGTACTGGGAATTTGTCGTCATGATGGCGCTTAAGACGAGGACGAAAGGGAGACAGACAACACGGAGCGCTTTGCGTTGTCTGTCTCCCTTTTGTCCTCGTCTTAACCGCCATCATGACGTCAAAATCTCCTCGTCGTTCGGTCCAGTGTAGCCCGACTCGCGCCTTTCATGAAAGGAGGCAAAATGCAGATCGGCTGCTATATTATTACGTCCCGCGAGGGGACAGAAATAACTGAATGTTAATAAGCAACCAAAGCCTAATTTGCCAACACCTGTTTCAAAAATGTTCGTTGGTTGCAACCATGGCCTCCGAGTTCGGGATCTCGGAGGCCATGGTTGCAACCGTCAAGTTGCCAAAAACTCCTGATAGGAGGACGGCCGCTACCTCTGCTCAAAACCCTTCCTTTTGTAATTCTTTTCACATCGCCCGCAACATCGATGGTATTTTCTTCTGTCTCAGTCGTTCATCGCTCGTCCCAAAGAGATATAGCGATCTCGTACAGTTCGCCGATAAACCGGCGAACGCGACAAGCGAGCTCCCATTTTGACGGCCGAGTCAAGCCAGCCAACGGGCCGCATAGCTAGGCAAGCCGATTTTTGAGCAACTTCCGGCTCTCTACTCGGAAGCTGATTGGCCGGCACCGCGCCGTACGCTTCCGGATACGCCTCGCCGAAATACGCCGATGCGCCGAGATCTGTCTCGGTCGGATCGCCGAATACGCGCGTATCTACGTCGACCGAGGAAGCGCTCGTCCCGACGCCCGCTGTACGTCGGGAGTACGCCCGCCGAAACGCCCGCAAGTACGTCGCAAATACGCCCTATGCGGTTCGGGCTTTAGATTATGGAATTCACGGACTGATATCGAATTGTGTGGATGTGATGACCGTCCTAAACGGTTTATTGAGTATTTTTTTTTTTATCTTCTCCGCATTGACAGCCGAGATTATACCAGCACAACGAAATTCCTGTCGCATTATTACACACGAATATAATATCAGCTTTTCACGTCTATACATAAATCTCCTAGGGTCCCTTTGCTGATGAACTGGATGAGACTTATTGCGTTGTACTATTGTGGCCAATAAAATGAAATAACCGCGAGGCCCTCCGCCGAAGGATCGCAAATTAGCAATTTGATCTTGTTAAAATTAGCACGAAGGCAAGGGAGGATATTCATTGTAGGAGAAGCGCTAAAGTAGACTCACTCACTCTCACACTCACACTCACACCAGAAAAACGGTCACTCACGTCGCGCTGACTTTCAACTCAAATTGTATTTTTGTCTTCTTTCGTTTTTCTTTTACCCGTATTGTCACTTCGTTCTCTTCTGTACAAAACAATTAGCAATGTCTATCGCACATTACCTACGAGAATCAAGATATAACAATTCTTTTTCCGTAAGCGTTATGGATGGACTACTAACACAGGTGTCACTCCTTTTTATGATGTTAGCTGCCTCTATTATCTCCCGTGTTAACTGATGATGGTTCTTTCCGATTATGGTGCTATTTTTGAAGTCCGCGGCGCACCCACAGTCACGGCAGTGAATGCCCAAAAGTCCTGAGTTTGCTAATCTGGTGTTGTAGTTGTGTTCCCTTAATCTGTCGTTCATACATCTTCCAGTTTGTCCTATGTACTGTTTGCCGCATGATAGGGGAAAGGAATAAATCACTCCTTCTGAGCAAGGTATGAATTGGGTTCTATGCTTTTTAGTGCAGACGGTATTAGTTTTTGGTATGGCGTTAACTTTTTTACATAGGCCTGATAGTTTGATGGGGGCGGAAAAGACTACATCGATATTTGCGCGATTCCCAATCTTCTTCAGGTTATGAGAAATGTTATGAATGTAGGGGATGACTCCCGGTCTCTGGTTACTGAATCTTTCGCGTGGCTTGCGGGATGTGATTTGACCTGTGAGGGTGAGTGAGTCTACTTTAGCGCTTCTCCTACAATGAATATCCAACTCGCCCGAGCATCCATTCTAACAAGGGAGGATGAACGTACAAAAAAAAAATGAAAGCCGTTTACAACTTCCTGTAACGCCGAATTAGAGCGCAGCTCTTGAGGAGGAGGTAGGAAGGGTACTAGGGGGGTGGGTCAAGTGACCTCGGGTGGCGGGGGGGTCACACGACCTTGGGGGGGGGGGGGTCACGTGGCCTTGTGGGAGTCACGTGACCCCCCCCCCAAGGCCCCATGGGCCTCCCCCCTGGCTACGTGCCAGGAACGCGGAGTTCTCAGAGCCTGTTGGTCTTTGTGTGTGAGACGCAGTAGACTGAGTGGGCGAAATGCAAAAACAATTGAAAACGGGGCAGCGCCGCAGTGTGCCTAGTTTGCAGAGTGCTTCCAGCATGCTCGATCAAAGTCTCGCGATGTATAGCTGCGACGGCAATACAAGCTGCAAAGAGGTGAGAAGGCGTTGACAGTCTGCAACCGACTCTGCCTCTTCGCCAGCTTTTTGTTTCTTGCTTCATGACAACGCAAAGCATGCGCACATGTGAGCAGCTGGCTCAGGAACTTCTGGATGCGCCCGCCATTAAATTTCAAACTCTCTATATAGATACAGTTGCTCCCCCTCTTAAATGTAGGCGCTCTACAGCGACGGTTAGAGCATCGCGCAAACTGAGCACGCTTTACGCATTGTGTGTTTTGATTTGTGTTTTCTTTTCTTATATTATGGCGATCATCTCGCGCTCTTTCTCTGGGGAAGCCCGGAGCGCGCTCGTTTCAGGGAGCGGAGAGCCGCTGTATGTCTAAAAACGTGATGGTTTCTGCTAGCCTGGAGCAACATAGAGGCACCCGAGGAAGAGTTTCGGATGACACGGGTGTTCAGTCAGTGAGCAGAGGAGCGCTGCGTCAGTGGTCATCTGGCAGTCGGCCAGTCGACTTATGTCCCCGGTTAGAGTCCGGATATGGTTAGGTGCTAGCTATATAACACATTTTGTGTTAACAATTGCAATTTTTTCTAGGGTCATGCTCAGCTTCATGCCAGTCCGACACAGTGGTGGACGTCTGCTCCCTGGATCCTGTGATGGAATCTGGGTACGATCATCATGATGCCTGGTTCTACGATTGGAGGACTGACGTATGCTTGGAGACGAAGTTTGAATATGTCGATGAATATAGTGACGAGCAAAACTATTTCGCGACCGAAGAACAGTGTAACTCTAAGTGCAGACGTAAGTTGGTTTTAAATAATCCTCCTTCTCGCTTTGTTATCGCATGTGGTATTTCCGTCAACAGCCCTAAATACTTGTCGAAGAATATGCAGAGTTGGAAGTCATGTTCCGCGTTAAACGGCGACCTTCAAAATGTTTTTCCGCAGGGTAGGAGAATCTTTCTCAGCACCCTTTATATTTCCCCCTTTTCCACTGTGAAAAAGTGGAAATGTACGAGGGGTTAGGAGGATGGGTTCCTACACTGCGGAAAAACGTGTTGTAGTCGGCGTTTAAGCGAAGCAAAACGACCCAAATATTCACTGCGGTCAAACATTTTTTTATTTGAGCCAGCACACGAAGCATTTAAGCAAAAGCTACCTCTCTCTTATATCCCAAAGACGCTCTACAGAAGAGAGGGGTGGCGATTAACAAAAGCCAGGCTCAGCACACAACACGCAATGTCGTGCCCTCAGCGCCCGGCGTCTTGCATGTGCATATATTTTTTTTTTTAATTTTCAATATTGAGTTTCTTGATTTCAATAAAATTTAGCATGTACCAGAAACGCCACTTCTCAAACTTGTTTTATAATTCTTCACCGTAATTTATAGAATGAGTTTTGGCATCTATGAAAATCCATAGTTGCTTTCAATAAGTTTCAGTTAAATTCAGCAAAAAAACCCTCAGACCTCATCCGACCTTTTCTTACGCAGCATGTGTTATGAGCTGCATTTCTTGCGAAAGGCGTCACGCTCGAGTGTGACAAAAAGCGCCACACACATCCCAAGAAAACATAAAGTAAACACCGACCATACTAGGCCATATATAAGCATTCAAAAGAGAAGGTATTCCTTATTTTAACAAGTCATGCATACTCATAATTCGCATAATTAATTGTAACGACCGAGATTTACCAAGCGGCTTAGTGGGAAGCGAACTTCGGGACGTGCGATCCGCAGCCCACGGCTTTGCTCCGTGCGAGGGGAGTAGGTGAGAGAGAGTGAAAACTGCAGGACCAGGCACTACTCACGGGAGCTTGAGTGAACAGGCGACCGGGTGCGCGAATGGCAAAGCGTAGCTCCCCAAGTAATCCCATAACGTCAAGAGGCCGACCACAACGCACCAACAAATAGCGCAGCATGCGTATGGAGTCACATGTCAACAAGGCAGCCAGCATATATTTTAGCGGGGGCAATAAACCTCTGTCCTCGCGACAGCTTCGGTTACAACTATGGGCTCCTCGCAGCCGAAGAGCTCTAACTACTCAAGGCGCTACAAGCATCCTCGGAAAAAGCAGCACCGAAATGCTATATTGAACTTGGTTCAACCCTAAGCTGACCATGCGGCAGAGGCTACGCGCTCGCTGGACGAATTAACAGTCTTCCTTTTATCCCCTGACTCCGCTCGCTGCGCACAGGTACGGGCAGAAGAATGATCGCGTGACAAAATACCGACGTATTACTGGTCCAATGAACGTGTAGCTTCCAGCCCACGTCCGGTTATTGTTGAAGAAAGAATAGGAAATACATTCTACTTCGCTACTTTGCACTAGAGAGCGCGTCTCCAACGTCAAACCGTCCCGAGCAGTTCGGAAACACCCCGTCCGAGAGATCTCGTGCACTATGTGCATTCGCGCTGCACCGAGGAGAAGGCTGCTGTTAATGCACCGATATACCGGATTCACAAAAAGAGTGGAGACTAGATAACAGAAATAATATAACGCAAACGAGTAGATTGTTTTAACTCACGACCAAGTAAATTCCTTAGAGCGCTATGGCCCATTTTCCCGTGCATTCTTAGGGAAATGGGGAGAAGGCAGAGGCAGAGGGAGGAAGTCAGAAGAAGGAAGGATGGGTGTCAAGGGCAGAGCGGTACGTCGACCCGTTGGAAACGGGCCGCTTACCAAGGTCGTCTAGTCACCCCCGAAAGCTCCAGGCGCAGGGAATCAATTTAACTATCAGAAAAAGCAGGCGAGGGGGGAAGGGATATAGATGCCGGATATCTTTTTCTTTTTTTATTGCAAATTATTTGATTTTTTTGCTTTAGAATCTCGAAGGATGGCGCCCGAGAGCGCGCGTTCTCCTGAACCTCTCCCTAAACAGTACCTCACTCTCTTTGTCTACGCAAAAACTCACAAGCCCGATGTACCGCTCCGTAGCATCATGTCAGAAAACGGTTGTTGGCAAAAACTCCTGGCATCCTTTCTACTGAAACATCACTCACTCTCACTCAATCTTTCTGAATCACCAACTCCACTGATCGGATCTCACGCCTCGCACCCTTCCATGGTTCGCCTGCCGCCTTCGGAATTTTTCGTTAGACATCGAAAGCATGAATTATAATCTCGATATCGGTTTTCTGCTTTGATCCGTGAACAAGGTTATAGGTGAGCACGACGTGTGCAAGTTCGAAAACTCGTCAGGAGTCTATGTTAAATGGTTCCTTTCCCTCCTAGACCTATACCTCCGCTCGACGCTCGTTGAGTACGAAGGAAAAATTTACATCCAGAAGGCATGCGCCTTCATCGCGTCATGTCTGGCGCCCATTTTTAGTGTAATCTTCCTAATGTTTGGGGACCTGGCTATAAAGGCAAAACTGGAGTCAACGGCACACGGGCGCTAGGTATTCAGGTACGTAGATGACTATCTTGTGGTGCACCAGGAACCGACCCAGCCTGAGACCATTCTCAAAGCTTTCACATCAAGCCCCGCCGGCCTTACGTTATAGACAGAGGATCCGGGAGGGGGCTATCCTCCAATTCCTGCACCTACACCCTAGTGTGTAAACCGGGGAGATGTGCTGGATGGAAGTTCAAACAGATATCAGGGAAACCGTTATCCCCTTCACTAGTGCCTACTCAAAAACAGACGAGGTAGGCTTGGTTAAGTCCCTCCAGAAGACTGCGCGGGCTAGGTCCTGCCCTCATCTTGCCACACACAGGGTTAGCCTCCAGATAGAGGCTTATCAGCTCCTCCAACATAACTCCCTCTGCACTTCGACCCCACCGGAAACAATTCGCTGTCATTCCGTGCACGCACAGCACTGCTCATCGCATCAAGGCTCTCGCCTCACGTTTCGACGTAGGAGTCGTCTTTAAGTGTAAATGCCAACTTAAGCAGATGTGCCGGGTGGTTAGTACTCCTTCCCCTACAAATCCCCGTCCAAAAAACATGAAAAGCAGTTCGTTCCCTGCGGGAGATAGGGGAATCTATTCCATCCCTTTTTCTTGCGGACGGGAATACATCGGGCAAACGGGCCGGTGCCTAAATGACCACCTGAGAGAGCACTTACGAGAAGTCGCCGATCCGGGCGAGGCTGTTGTGTCCCCGATAGATGCACATAGATGCATATGCGGAGGATGTGCGCCCAGGTTCAGGAAAACGCGGGTTCTCGGGCGCCATCCATGGAGATTCGGGAGGAAAGAAACGTCCGCCGTCAATAGGGAATTGTAGTAGACCGTTTTTCTCCTCTGCTACGGCATCTGTAAGGAAAACGCCGCAGCTGCGCATGCGCGTCGCCAGCCTTGTCTGCATAGTTCAAGGTCTTGTGGTGGATTACGGAGCGCTATTCGGGTGCTTAGCGGGCTGCGGGAACGGTCTACTACAATTCCCCAATGTCTCTTCCCCCTCGCTAGCCCTCTCTGACGGAACGAGGCATTTTCTGCGCCTGGAGCTTTTTGGTGTGTCAAGACGACCTTGGTGAGCGGTCCGTCCACAACGGGTCGAAGCACTTTTCGCCCATCCCACCCGTCCGTTCTTATTCTGATTTCCGCCCTTTCCCCCTTTCCCTAAGAATGCGCGGAGGAAGGACTGGTCGCACTACATGAATCTTTTTTGTGAGTTCAAGAAATGTTCTCGTCTGTGTTTCGTCCGCTCTTCTTTATTCGTTCGGTTATCTAGCATAATTTACCAACACGCTCGTTAGAAACGGAGTATAGGCGGTTGTCTTTACTTTCTCGACGGGTGTACACGACGATTGACGGCGTAGGCTGCTGCTACTAATTCAAAGGGGAAAAAACAGGAACTTTGCACACCCTGTCTTTCTAGCTACGCAAAAATTGATGACGCAAAAGCCATTATATTTTTGTGGAGTACGATGCAAACAATTTGCAGAACCCGTGTAAACTTGTCATTCAAGAATACCTCTCATACACTCCACTCCGGAATAAATGCAAACTTTTCTTGATCCTTCTGATAAATCCGGCAAGCATATTAGAAAGCCAAAAGGTATGTTTGGTCTAGTTAGTTGAAGAGCATCTTGGTTTAAAACAGCGCGACAAAACAAGGATCAAGTAAAGAAGAGACAGACGACGGCGTTGACTATCAACTGAAATTTTGTTTCCTCAGCTTGCAGTGTACATACAAATGTGAAACAACCAAATAAACAGAGTGCGAAAGAAAAGCACCAAAAGGCGCGCAGTCTCAGCATCTTATTAGATTATACAGTGTTTTGTCACAGTCTGTTCCTAACATGAACCAGAAGGAAACAAATCTATTTATCGGACAGACCAACGAAATCCGTGCTGACAGATATATCTTTAAGGTTGCTAATTTCGTAATCTTCTATTATTTATCGCGTTACTTTATCACTGTTCCTTTTGAGTATTCCACAGTCACGGCAGTGAATTCCCTGATGACCGGAGATTTGTTCTGCTACATTACACTGATGATCCTTCAATCGGTCATTAGTGCACAGTCCGGTTTGTCCGATGTAGAGCCGGTCACACGGCAGAGAAATAGAATACACGAGCAATTTTCGACAGTTGACGAAATGCGCACGGTGCTTTTTTGTGCAATATTATCTCTCTTCCCCGATCTTGTTCACCTTCCTGCACAGAGCAGACAAACGTTCTGAAGCAGAAAAACCGATTTCAATTTCTGCTGTTTTTCACATTCTCTTTAAATTGTGAGGAATCTTATGGACGTACGGAATGACAGACACTTTTTTTTGCCTCGGGTTCTTAGGTGTTCGTCACTTGCTGGGCTCTTTTTTTTTAAGTTTTTACAGCAATGTTTCGGTCACTGAAGTTATAATCTTTCGTGGGTAGCCGGCAATCACAACTCTGCCCACTTGTTTTAGAAAGCAATTTGACATGCGGTGATGACACGATCTGTCGTGCGTACATGGCATCATAAACCACCCATAGCTTCTCGCAACCAAGCATAATTAACCATATCGGAGCAATAAGGCACCCGCGACAAATTTTCGGCTTGTAGGTTCGGTTTTATCAAAATGATAAAAAAAGGTTTCTTTGTTTTACTGTCGAGATTAGCAAACAGCCGCAAATGTTGCTGCCTTGGGAGGGGCCCCACATATGCTTGTTTGTCTCTATTTTTTCTGCGATCTCAACCTCCCAGAAGTAACGTCAATTAAAATATATATATATATATATATTGTAATGTAGAAGATAAGTTATAAATTGTTCTTGCTTATTTTTATAACTGTTCTTTACTATATATAGGAGGTGTGCCGAACCAGTGTTTTGATGACCCTCGAAATTTAGGGGGGAAAAATGACATTGAAAAGTGGACCTACAATTATACTTCCACACAATGCGTCCCGTTTCGCTGGAGGAAAGGCCGGTGGCCAGATAGAAACACATTTATTTCAAAAGAGGAATGCATTAAGACGTGTAAAAGTAAGTATTATCTTTCTAACATCAATGTTACATAGGATGGGCAGTGCAATATTTTTGTTATATTTGTACTCGGGGATGGGCGAAATACACGCAAATATGTATCGAAATACAAATACAAAATACTTCGTCAAAAATGTATTTAATTACAAATCTGATTACATTTCCAAAAAAGCATTTAAGTACAAGATACAAATACAACCAAATGTATTTGGTCTATTCCAAATACATTCCTCAAAATTTGCGTCAGCGACTTCAGGGCATTTGCAACGGCTTTCTGGGTATCTCATTTTAATTTAGCATCGCACACTCGGGAGTTAGTGTGCGAGGCTCTAGTAATGTAATAGAAATATAATCACAAAAAATGTAATCAGCTTGGGCGTAATAGATGAAAAAAGTACAGAGCTTCAAGTAGCTTCTTTTGTTGATTACATTTTGGGTATAGACCACCAAACAACCGAGACGACAAAGACGCGCGGCAGTAGCTAGAGAATATTTTATTGTTGCAACTCGCACCAGTTACGAAAATCTGGACGACCCGCGCATTTAGAATGTTCCAGGCAAAAATATGGATGGAAATCAGGCTGGAAAGCATCACAAGTTGTTACAGGCACTTATTTAGCCAGTCAGCCTGTGAACATCAATTTCGTCACTAATCACAAAGTCACTAAACGCTTGTGCTTGATTGAGAGACACTGCATCCGGTGCAGAACGTAGTTTCCTTCCTGCTCTGGACAGAGACAATAAATTTGAGGGATGTATTTTCGCCCACACAATTGTATTTAATTACAGTTGTATTTTAAATATCCACGATTTAGCATTTAAATACACACGTCAAATACAATACCCAATTTTTATACTGCAAATGCAAAATACGCAAAGTATTTGAAATACTGCCCATCCCTGTTTGTACTGATGATAAACGTGTGGCACGACATCGCCTCCTAACTTCTCAGACATCATCATGGGGTTTGATCTCAAATTTATTCTGAGAGTTTTAGCACAACTACAATATTGTCCCGAATGACAAATGATAAGGCGGCGAATAACTATAAAAACTAAATGTTTAATAGGGCGTACTTGTACCAAAAACAAAATTGAAGAAGGTTAGCGTCGCAGGTGTTTATGCCGGCGAAACAGCAGGCTCGAGCGCTGGGGCCAGACTGAGTCCGGCTCGCCACGCAGAGCCCCTTTTGTACACGCGAGAACTTTTGGGACAATCGGCAGAGGGTTCTCGAGTTTACCAGAACGCGACATGTACAGATATAAAGTAGGTACTTCTGCTGCCGGGATTCGAACTGTGGCTTTTCGTGGGAGAGCCAAGTACGATAACCGTTCGACCACGGACGCCCTTCCTCAAAAACGCGCTTGGCATTACCCCCCCCCCCCTTTTTTTAAACAAAGCATCGTCTCGATGCACGAAAACCAAACAAGGCAAAGCAAAAAAAAAAAAAAAGAAACTACGTTTCAGCTTAGGTCCGAGCGCGGCCGATGTTATGAACCCAAGGGCCAATCAAAGAGCGAAAGAGGCACAACGTCATGGCGTGCTCTCTGCAGTTAATAGAACCAGCCGGTATTCGCCGTCTCTCTGTGCGTGCTCCTCTGTCGTCTAGTCCTATCAAGCGCAGAGAGCACTCCGTGGCGTTGCGCTTTTTGCGCTGTTTGATTGGCCCTTCGGCTTATAACATCGTCCGCGCTCGGACCTAAGGTAAAACGAAGTATACAAAGACTTGTAAAACACGGTTTTGTCAAGCGTAGTGCGGCTTCATGCGCACGACGTGGACGACTTCACGCATCAGTGGGCGGCGTGATGATGTTCTTGCTCCGTCGGGCATCACTTTGTATTTCAGATCTCCGAGGCGGCGAATCACATTGTAGGGTCCGAGTACCGTTTTAGGAGTTTCTCACTGAGATCGCGGCGGCGAATGAGTATAATAATAATTAATATTATTATTACTACAATAATAATAATAATAATAATTATTGTTATTATTATAGAAAAATACTTGTTGTTGTTCCTTTTACAATACAGAAAATCGGGTTCCTTGATGCCTAGAGGTTCGTACGTCGTGGCCCGGCAGCCGCGAATAGTTATCTATAGAGCGCTGCCACTTGAGTTAAAGAGAAAAAAAGAAACAACAACAACAATACATCAATGTGCATAGATCATCCACACCCTACCCTGCCCCGAGATAAAAGTGGATGTCGCGGCGACAAGGGTTGTACCAGCGGGCGTCCACACCTTGTTGGTCCTGAAGTCGGAATCTGGGGAGCTGCCGAGCCTCCTCTGCTCATTGGGTGATCAACTGGACGTCACCGATTGCGTCGTCTGCTGAGTTTTGGAGTAGCATTGCGTCCAGCATCGTTGTGGCCTTTCTGCCGCGCACCAGCTGGAATGGTGCTAACTCCGGTGGTTTCATGGGCTACCGTGTTATTAGCAAAGGTCACGTACGGCAACACATCGTCCCACGTCGCGTGCTCTACGCCAACCTACATAGAGATCATGTCGGCGATAGTTTTGTTTAGTGTTTTTGGTAGTCTGTTTATCTGCGGATGGTGCGCAGTGGTTCGACGGTAGCTGGTGCTACTGATACGAAGAATTGCCTGCGTCAGCTGGGCCATGAACGATGATCCACTCTCTGTAATGATGACTTCGGGGGCGCCATGCCGAAGGAACATGGATTCGATAAAAAAACTTGGCAACTTCAACAGCCGTAAATGATTGAAGGCCTTTGCTCTCGGCGTACCGTGTGGGATAATTTGTCGCAACGATAATTCATCGGTTTCCTTGCGTTGGTGGTGGGAACAGTCCAAATAAATTCATTCCAATTTGCTGGAATGGTGCAGATGGCGACGCAATAGGCTGAAGAAGTCCTGCTGGTCTCGTAGGTGCTTCTTCCGTCGTACACACTCGTGGCAAGATCGGGTGTCATAATGGACTCTCTTTCCAAGCTTGGACAGTAGTACCTCTCGCGTATCTTGGAAAGAGTCTTGCTGTAGCCAAGGTATCCCGACGTCGGGTCATCGTGGCATTCTTGAAAGATTTCTTCTCGAAGGTTGGAAGGAATAACCAACAGCCACGGTGTGTGGTTGTTGACGAAGTTCTCCTTGTAGCACCTCTTGCCGTACGAAAAACGTAAGCAGAATTCTTAAGAAAGCGCGGGGAACCGTACTCGCTTGTCCCTCTAGGTGCTCGATGAGGGCTCTCACTTCGGGGTCGTCTCGTTAGAGTGCTGCCATGTCGCTGACATCCAGAGTGCCGAGTACTCAATCTTCTTTAGTGCAGGCAGGACCGGCATCGATGGGGGCCCTTGACAGGCAGTAGGCGTCTTTGTGCTTACGACCGGACATGTACACGGTCATTTCGAAATCCTGTAGTTGTAGGCTCCACCGGGCGAGGTGCCCGGAGGGGTATTTCAAATTCGTGAGCCATCAGAGCGGGTGTGGTATTTGACTACGCGAAAAGAACTTCGATACAAATATGTGCAACTTAGTTATTTCCCAGACGACAGCAAGGCACTCTTTTTCAGTCGTTTAGTAGTTCCTCTCCGCGTTAGACAGCGTTCCACTTGCGTATTCAATGACTCACTCTGGCCCGTCTTGCCTTTGGACTAGTACCGCGCCAAGTCCGGTGTTACTGGCATCCGTGTGGATGTCGGTTTCAGCGAATTGGTTGAAATGGTCAAGAATAGAGGACGTCGGAAGTCTTCGTTTGAGCTCATCGAATGAACGCTGGTGTTCTTTTGCCCCCTGAAGTTTTACGAATTCCTTCTTGTGGTGCGTCAGCGGAACGGACAACTTGTCCTTGTCCTGAATAAACCGCTTACAGCAGGCACGGAGTCAGAGAAATCTTCTCACGGCCTTTTTTGTCAGACGGCGGCGTGAACGCAGCTTCGGCTCGGGTCTTCTCGAGGTCAGGGAGAACACCTTTGGTGTTCACGACGTGGCCAAGGAACTTCAGTTTGCCATAAGCAAACCGACACTTCGTTGGCTTGAGTGACAAGCCGGCGGTCTTGATGGCTTGAATCACGGCTCAAAGTCGTCTCAGTTGTTCGTAGAAATTTCGTGAAGACACCACGACATCGTTCAGGTAGACGAGGCAGCTCTTCCATATCAGACCTGCCATCACGGTGTCCATGACACACTGGAATGTGGCTGGTGATCTACAAAGTCCAAACGACATTACTTTTAACTCGTAAGGTTCGTCGGGAGTGACGAAGGCAGTTTTCTCGTGGTAGTGTTCGTCGAATTCAATCTGCAAGTAGCCACTCTTGAGGTCCAGCGACGAAAACTATCAGGAGTGGTGCAGTCACTTTAACGTATCGTCGATGGGAGGGAGCCGGTAGACATTCTTCTCAGTCACAGCGTTGAGTCGACGATAGTCCACAAAGAATCTCACGGTTGCGTCCTTCTTCTTTGCAAGGATGTCTGGTGGCGCCCACGGACTTCTTCAGGGCTGAATCACGTCGTCGTCGGGCATTTTCTGGACTTGATGTTGCATCACCTTCCTTTTTTTTAAGGAGAATCGGTACGCCGGCTGGTGAACAGGGAGCGCGTAGTCGTCAGTAATGATGCGGTGCATCGCTACCGTTGTTTATCGCACCCTTTGTGTTGTGGCGAAACACTCGCCAAATTCGCCCAGAAGGTCAAGCAGCCGTCCCCGTTCAGTAGTTGGATGCTTCGGATAGAAGTCAAGTTCCGAGGACGGCGTTCTCTTGTGCTGGGATGAAGTCGGCTCTTTCGAAAGTGCAGCGATTGCGGCTGAGTTCTGAAGTTCGTCGACGTCGCCCACGGCGATTCCTTTTGTGGTTTTCGACGACTCTCGGCAAGTTTTTAATTGCAACGAAGTGTCTATTTTCACTTAATTTATCATATTTAATTCTCGACTTTGTTGACCAAACGTTTCTACAGCTTCAGATAGAGCTAAAATATACATTCAAAATATTGAACACGTATATTATACGCCACAAAGTTTTAATGTATCATAATATTAGGTGTGTATCTAAATTATTTTTACAGAATGTAACGGGGATTTAATTTTAAAATTGTAGATTCACAGATGTTGATGCCTGCTTTGCTCTAAAAAAAAATACTATGCACTCCAAATTAAACAATGGTGTCTTCTTCAACCGGTTCTGCGTGTGACCTTGAAAAACAGAATGTTCGGTGGTTTTGTGGTGGTTGTTATGTAGATACGGATGTCGGTTAAATAAAATTATTAGCTGAGTTAGAGACGCTGTCTGTCCCTGTTACTTTCTTTTTAGATTTTTGAAAAAAATGTCCTCCTTTTGCCTTAGTCTCGGGTTAAAATCATCATTGTAAACACTGAGAGCGCCAAAGAGTTGAGCATAGCGAGCGCGACAACTCGCGTTAACTCTCGCTCTCACGCGCACTAGCGGAGGCTAGCGGAGGCCTGCACCAACAGTAAAGAAAAAATATATACCTTCAGACAGGGCAACTTTCTCAGCCGTTTAATTGGTGCTGGCTATTTGTTCTCTAGATTTTCATAGATCCCTAATGAAGTTGCTGGGAGAAATTGCCCTGTCTGAAGCGTGCCCCAGGTTTCTCTAGATCCTCTCGCTGCAATACGAATAGCTGGGATCGAGTTCAGCTTGGAACTGACGAACATCTCGGACAACTCGGAAACATTTGAAGCGGAAGCAGCCAACCAGGGTCGCGATATTTTATGCGACACCCCTGGGGTGGTGATGATGACAACTAAAGACTTGGTTCTGGTTTGAACTTTCTTTTTATAAGAAATCGTTTCAGAATGAATAGCTAGTATTCTAAACGCCATTTAAAGATATATAAACCCAATTTTAGCGCCTAACTGCGTGTCTATGGAGAGTAAGAAAATGATAATATAATACTGATGATGGCTAATCGTAACGATTCGGCTGCTGCGCATCAACGCAGCAACCGCCGGCGCCCGGTGTTTGGCATTCCTATGCGAACACGGTCAAGGGGTGCAGTGGAGACAAAAGCAGCGGGGACGTCACAGCTTGCGTTCTGACGTCCCTTCGCGCTCTCGTCTCCTCCTCTCTCTCAGTTTCTGCCCGTATACACCGCTTACCTCGTTGAACTCGTCTATTGTTATGAGTGCGAGTCGTTTCGCGTTCACCAAGTTGTTTAGAGGAACATGTAGACAGATGTAGCATGCAGCAAACAACAACCGCAAATGCAGGCCTTCTGAAGCGCTGTGCGGGTGCTTGGTTTCGTAGCGGGACTGACGAAAGTCTAGTTCCTGTGCGAAAATTATTTTGCTTGATCTGGCTTTATTTGTTCGTTTGGAAGCGTTGACGCTGACTAAATATTCGGTTTCTGTAAAAGCGACCTTGCTGCTTAGTGAATCGTGCAACCGTCGCGATTAAAACAATGGTTTCAGTACTGAGAGGATACTACACAGGTAAGAACTTGCGAGACGTTTGTCGGGAGGCAGTCGGACGCTCGCTTCGTATTATGTTTCGCCAGGTATGTTCCCGCCATTTCGCTTCGAAAAGCCTGTAACTCTCAAACTTTGCAACGCGGCAATATTTTAGGTTCCGTTTTAATTGTGTGACATGATTCTCACCCATAATGCTCGCCAATGACATGCAATAAACGGATTCATGGTCGCGTCTCAGGGGCGTTGCAGACGGTAGTTGAATGTGGAGAGCAAGTTGTCTGCTTTTTGCGCAGGAGTTGCGGTGGTGTGAGAACGACACCGAGCTGTGATTGGCTATGAATAAAGGATAGTGGGTAGAGCTCAAAGCAAGCTGCCTTAAGGTGTACCCACTATCCTTCATTCAGAGCTAATCAGAGCTTGGCGTTCTGACGTCACCACAACCCTTGCAAAAGAAGCAGACGAACTTGTGCTCTGCATAGCTGACGAACGCAGGTGATGGCGGGCTCTGAGTGCCGCTTTCATGTTCGAGTCTCACAGACGTTGCAGGTGGTTGTAGTGTGTGTTATAGTAGCAGACGATGCCCTATTCTGCCACGCATTTGCCCGTACGACCAGCAGGGGGTGTCAGAGGGCAGACTACCCACATCGGACGTCGCGACAGGGAGACATTAGGTTTGCGAAGGAGTCCAGCCGAGCAGCCAAGCCGATCCAAGAGTGATGGCCGGGGTCACCGTTCCGTGGTCGGAACGTAGAGGGGCTGGTGAACATCTCCTAAATTGCGTCGAGCTTGTAAATATAGCACTAAACCGTTGTGTCTTTGCAGACCTTTGTTGATGAAATGTGTGTCACATCTAGGCACTTCAGAACATTTTTATTTTTCTTTCATTGTTTTTTAACTGTGTGTGATTCGACGTGTGAGATTGTCACCTACGGTTTCAAGTACTGGTTGTCCGAAATTTAACATCCTCCGAGGCCCATCTCGGAAACAGTAGGATATCATTGTTCAGATAAAAGCTCCAATCCAAGAATGCCAATTTCTGAACAGAACTGAAAAATATCGGAGCAATAAAACCAACCCTAAACATCTAAGCAAGGGTGCTAATGAAGTTTTGAATCAAAATTACTTAGTGCTTGTGAAGTATTTTAAAAAGTCCATGCGAATATCGCTAGTAACGTCGTGCAAAACAAAGGTGGAACCACTTCGTACTGCCCGTGGTATCCTTGGTTCAAGGACAGTTTTGCATTTTAACAATGACAGTGTATTTGTTGATCGCTTTACTTTGCTCTTCTTTTATACTTTTGCATTCATTCCGGTTTCCATCTTGGCCACTCGTCATAAGCTGTATTTACTTTAATCAAGGTTCTTTTCATTTTCATACTTCAAGTCCCAGAGCTGGGAATATGTGGATACGGGTTTCACAATGAATGTAAGCATGGTGATGATCTATATATTCGGTATAATTATCAAAAGCAAATATGCGAAATTTTACAACCCGACGAATGTCCTATACATGGAAACGCATTCTACACATTTCGAGCATGCTACCAACGCTGCGGAAGTAAGTTCATTTTGGTACCTCTTTTGAAAAATATCTTTGCATTAAAACAGCGATATAAGCAATTCACAGCCGTCCTTTTCAATATATCTATCTTTTTGGGACTTGTAAAAATATCGTTTGGCACGGTGATGAATATTTTATATCTGGTTAAGGTCACTTCTTTCTGAAGATTTGTTTGGTTGTATTCTCGTTTTTGTACACGTTCATTTTATGTAACCATCTTGTAACGTGTAATGCCTCAGCAATACATGTATAAAGGCAGTCCGAGCTTAATAGTCTAATATGGCTGGCAGAATTGTTGGCAAATATTTATCAAGCCGGATTCGAGGCACCACCGTTTTCCGTATTATCTGCCCTACTAAAATATATCATGTACGTCTTCATCCCGCGGCGTGCCTGTGGACTAGCAGCTTTTATAGGCCGTCTTGATACCTTCGCTAGCTCCTCCGTATTTTCCTCCGTGCATTCGCGCCTTCTCCGTGCATACGGAGAAGGCGCACTTTCTAACCTGTGCACGCCGTGTGTAAACACACAGCGAAAAGTTTAAGCACACGGATTGAACACCGCCGAAAAAAAGGCGAAGGCAGCGTCGTGATCGGGAAACGTGACGACTCGCGCTTTGAGGCTGTAATGATCTGTTCCTGATAGATTAAGCCCAGAAGGTCGAAATTGCCACAGGGAGATATTACGGCGATATCCTGACTATTTCGTGGTAAAACCCAGCATCGTGGGAAGCTGTTCAAAGGAGTGCGTTGCTGCACCACAAAGCGTCAGTGACACTGCGGCTGTTTTAGGCTAAGAAATTCTACCTCCGCCAACTTATTCACCCGCTCTGGTACCCGGTAACTTCTACCTTCTTCCTTAGGGACAAGACTTAGGACTTCTACTACCAAGGCATTCGCCCGCAGTTAATTGGTGGGAGAAGTGTGCCTTGTGTTAGTCATGACTGAAGGAGTAACCCCACCACAGCCGCTCACGATCATAGTTGTCTTTCTTTATGTTAATAATACACGCTTTATGACCGCCCCATATATATTGCTGTAAACCAAAAAAATTGCGTTGTCATGAAAGGGCGCCTTGAGCTGACGCTACCCAGGTTAATTTTAATAGTATAGGAAAAACACAGAAAACGCAATGCTTTCGTAACATCAAAAGTTGCAACAAGTACATTCTACCAGCCTAGTTATATTAAGAAACGCAAACACGTTTGAACTTATAATTTGTTTAAAACTCAATTTTTTTACGAAAATGACCACATCAGAGTGGCCTTTAGGAATTGGATTTTCTTCATTGGTAACAGCGTCACTAGGTGATAATAACGCTAGTGATGATAATTAACACCCGTCCAGAAAACGCATAATGATGTGGATATAGGACTCGTTGTCAGTGGTCTCAAAAGTCTCCACTAAAAGTCGACTTTTATTGATGACTAAGCTGAAACTAATAATTTAATTCGTGTAATTATCGTCTTGCACCACAACGAGCAGGTCAATGTGCCTTGGTCATAGATTGCTCAAGCATTGAAATTAAGGCAGTCCTATTTCTTGAATAGGAACTAGTCTTCCTTTCATGCTCTCTCTCTCTCTCTCTAGACGTCTCTGCAGTAGTTACAAATAATATAAAAGAAAAATTTAAGAAGCTTTCGAAATAAAAAGAAACTTAAAGTTTGAAAGTAGGCACCCTATATTTTCTTTGTGTTTCAAATTTTCCTCCAATTTTATTAGTAGAACCTCTTCAAAATTGCGCCCAAGCTCTGCCTGCTGATGATCACCGAGACAGAAAAAGACCAGAGGAAACAACTAGCAAATTTAAAGCCATCTACGTTGTAAGCTGATCCTTGCTTGACTTAAAGCTGGTTCAAAAATTTCGACAGTGGCTTCGCGACGCATTTATGGATAACATACGAGAAAGACAATCGCCTTGTGCCGTGCGGTAATCGCTGCGCAGTCCTCAAGTATAATAATGGTTCAGTTTAATTCTGCCTAGTTTATGGGTGACAACCGATATCAAGGCCAAAAGCTGCAAAACACCGCTCATTGCTCATATCGTTTTAAGTGCTTTAGATTACCTTAAAAGCTTTGCCCCTGTACATGAAATCACTTAAAGTTTTGTGAAATATGATGAGACAATTTGATGTCGGTGCGCTCCCTTGAAACCGCATAAAATGTTAATAAAGGAAATGTCAAGCTAGGTAATATCCTTGCAGAGAAGGATACATTAAAACCTCAGACCAATCCCTATTTCGACACCATATTCGTAAAACGGTGCATATAATGCTAGGTTTTTATGCATAATTATTGCTGTGTTTATTACTCTTGTAAGGAATCTTTTTTGTTCTAGGGTTTGTGGAAGATAAGTGCAAGTTACCAATACAAAATATGAGTTTTTGCAGTGAAGTTAAGACTAGGTATGGCTACAACACCAAAACGTTGAGGTGCGAAGAGTTTCAAGGATGCGAAGATAGTGGGAACAGTTTTCCATCAGCGGAAGCGTGTTGGAACACCTGTGCTAGTAAGTGCCAAATCCTAATTCAATCCTAACTATCACCAATAGCGTGTTGCGTTGCACTAAATCGGATTATTTTGTTCACTGTATGATCTGACACGGATTAACTAGCCAAAACGTACATTGCCTTTTTAGTGAATGATTTCTTTAATAAAAACAAAACATTTCAAGGATTCTTCATCAGACAACAATATGTTATTAACTGTCGTATTTTGTTTTCGAATACTGTCGAAGAAAGAGAGGGACACAACACAAAGAGCTTCGTGTTGTGTCCCTATCTTTTTATCCTTGTAATAAGGCGCATATTGTTTAAAGAATCATATACCAACTAACACATCCTCCATTTGAAAATATAAATTATTAATTTCTCAAAGCCGAATGATTTTGAATATTACCGTATTTACTCGCGTAATAGCCCCACTGATTATGAAGAAAACCTGAGGGTTCGCTTTTCCCCGTGGCACGCGAATTGCCAATCACCGCAATCGACAGCATAATTCCAGCTGTTTACAGGGGAGAGATAACGTCTTCGCGCGAAGATACCATTTGTGAAGATTGCATTTGTATGGAGAATCTTGTTCTCGATATGGTTATTCGCTATGTTACTTATGCGCAAAGCGATGGTTGGCTGTATATGTGTTTTTCGGGAAAGCAGACGCAAGAGCCTTGTTCATAAATAGTGCTGCTCTTGCTCGAGTAAATACGGTATTAAAGTGGCAGTTCATTTCTTTCTCATTTATAGAAACTTCATGAAGTTGTCGTTGAACAGTTTTTTTTCGAGAACTGAACTAGTTTAATAGTTCCCTTTAATAATCTATAAGAAAATGAAGTAGTTATATATATGAGTTTTTTGAAGTAACCCACTCTTCAGAATGACATTTTACAATTTAATAAAAGTCCGAAAGCCAAAATGTACACCATTTTCGTAACCTGATTTTTTTTATTAACAATAAATATACCTGATCGCGCCTAGGAATGACATTCCTGATATTGAAAGTTGAGCACTGCGTTTCTCTAGTTATTATTTATAAAATGATTTGCCACAGCAGAACACCCGGTAATAGGACCATGCACATTTAAAACACTTAACAATTTTATCCTTTAAAATTTCGTTTACCAGAAGCGTCAAACCACCGCTGCGTGCAGAAACCTGATTATAGATTTCCTGGTATATTTAAAAAATACTACTACGACATAAGACATAACCAATGTAAAAGCAAGAGACTGTTTCGAGGCTATGTTTCTGGGGACTCAAACCTATTCGAAACAATGGAAGACTGCAAGGCAACTTGTATGGGTAAGCGTAAACCCCGATATTATTTTTAGATTACTTATTATGGAAGCTGAAGTCGTATTCAAATACGGAAATGCTGTGGAAGTTTGAGTGTGTTTACCTTAAAATAATTAGTATTTTAATAGTTTGCTATGAGAAACGACAAAATCACAAATTCAAATTTCGCCGCCGCACTACTCTGTGTCGACCGTAAGAAAGAAAAGGGGAGAGGGAGAAATAACTAGCAAAAGTGACTATTTCGGTGGTATCAGGTGACCTTTACCCGCCCTTCAACTAGCTTGGAGATGCCATATGTGACGTCACGGAGCATTTGAGAGATAGCACACCAGGCGGCGGGAAGTCACGCCTCGTGCACTGCTCCAATTTCTGCAGGTTATCATGAACTATATGTGGTTTACATTATAGACTACCCAATTTTACTGGTATACCTGAATTCAGCTAGTAGACAAAATAATTCATAAGGCCACATCTAAGTCAGTCGTTTCGAAAGTGTTTTAATGAATCTATCTAGTATCGTAGCTTAAGATCATAAATGCGAGAAAATTGAGGTGTTAAATTATTTGAGTCGTTACCAGCAATACATTGGGAACCTGTAGATTCCATATTTAATCATACTCTAGTCTTCCTTTCGAACTGAACTTTGAAACAGGTTAAATATTTGAATAACAAGCTTTAGGAATAGATAAGTAAATGGCTGTTCACTGAGATCTCTTGAACTATAGTCGCAGAGAAGTTAAGATCCCAATAGATGCTCAGCCTCCAGCACGCGCTCTTTACCTTGCTCCGGGTTTGGGGTTTGGACTACACTAGCGACAGATTGCTAATAAATGTAGAAAGTTCGCACTCGAAGGGGAGCATAAAGCGGGTTCTTAACCTATCAACGACTGTGAACAACTTGAGGTTATCTTTATTACCTCCAAGTATTCCTTTTAACCCTATATTTATATTTAAAGGCGCATATTATCACCCTCCTTCCACTGACATCTTCGTTTACTCAATTTAATGAGAATAGCGTAAAAGAAAAATACTTCTCCGAGAAACAGCTCGTTAACTTCGGGACAAGTTTCTAAATCGACGAACTTTTTCAAAGTTTGTTAAATTAAAGGCAAGCCACACTGGATCTCAGGGGAAGACGGAATGCTATATCATATGGTTTGCACTCGTCTAATGCCTGTACTCAAATGATAAATAATTAGAAGAGACTGGCATACACTGGAGATCTAAGCAACATTCATCAAATTTAAAACGTAATGTGCCAAAACAAAAAACACGTATTGCCGTTCAGTGGTTTTGCGACTGAATATCAAAATACGGCACATAATGGCCCATTCGGATTCCTTTACTTGGCAAAAGGCTCCAACTGAAGCGATCAGTATTCTGTGGCTAATATACTCTTACTTTACCTTTCTTTTTTTCTCTTTTGTTTTATCTAGCAACATACAAATATGAGCCCGATCGGTTGTGATAAGGCATGGAAGCCACATTTCCTTCGAGACAGTGGCCTTCAAGGATTCTTTGCACTTCAGAACAAGGCTCAGATTATTTGACGGCCACCACTGCAAGAATAAAACTGTATTTTCTCTGTGATATTTTGTTGTAATTGAAATTATCATGATGAACGGATTACGTTCGAAGCTTGAAACTTATTAAACCACAAATATGTATCACATAATAAAAGAAAAAGTAACGGATATAGCATAGTACAATAACATTTACAATAATATGTCTGTGAATGGCTAACTTATAGCCCCTAAACACAATATATGCTCATATTTGCCCACGAAACTGAGCGGGAAAAGTGTGGAGTCATAAGATATGACGTCACGGGACACTGTGACGTCACATTTTTAAGACACTTTTATTCGCAGCAAAATTTAGCGGAGAAATTTTCCCAATAGATTTAGTAGACCATGATGTAAGTACACAAAGCACACTCGGAATCCGCTGCGTAACCTCGCCAATGACGCCTATTCTGATAAAATATTATATCGATATTTTAGTCCTAATAACATTCTCCCACATCGCAAACATATACGGAGAGAAACTGCGGGAGAGGAGGCGATGAGAGAGTTTGGTGACGTCGGAGCACCGAGCTTTGATTGGAACGATGGCGGTTAGAGGCAAAGATCAACTGCCTTTGTCTCCTGCTCAGTCTTTAAACGCTTTCGAACACCTAATGCCGGCGTCTGGCGTCCGAACGCGAGACAATGAGCCAGGGGCAGGTTTCTCTCTTTTCTGATTTAATTGGAAAGAACATGGTGGGGTAGAGGCAAAGGCAGCTAGCCTCTGCGCCTACCCACTAATCCTTCCAATCAGGGCACGGTGCTATTATGTCCCCTCGCGCTCGAGCCTCCTCCTAGCCTTGGATTTGCATGCGAAAGCATTAACTGTCCCATAGAGTGAACCTACGTCATCAGCTGTGACGATGTAGCTGAACAAACGACGAGGAAAATGACGCAGAAGAAAGCTGTGACGACTAGAATAATCAGATATGAAGACTGCAAGACCGTATCAAGGAATGAGAATAAGAAAAAAAGAAGAGGAGGACAACACGTGGAGAGTGAACGTCACACACGCTCGAGGCGCTCGAAAAAGGCGGTTGGGCATCGGCAACCGGCTCAACATCAGCAGTCCCGGCAGTCGAGGAAGATTCCGGACGGGCGCCGACAGGCCTGTAAGGACTCTGAACCTGTACACCGTGGGCCGCCGCCGTTAGCCAAGCTGCAACAAACCTACTCCTGCGCCTACCCAGCCTGCCAGGCTCCAGAACTAACGTTCCGACAACGAGGTGTCTTCTCTGCAATAGCATCGCGTGAGCCGTAAGCCAAGTCGGCGGGCTGAACTTTGTAAAATATTTTGATGACTCTGATAACTTGCTCTCCTACTCTATCCGACATTTATTTTTGATTTCTTACTCCGCTTCTTACAACCACCACTCCGCAATTCTGAGTTCTTCCGTATTCATTTCCATCACACAAACGGCACCTTCCGCTGTCCTAATGTCGTCTGTAGCAGAAATCGGATGGATAGGCTCCCACTGGCTGGCGCGCGTCATCAAGGAACTAGGTTCTCATTGGCTCTCATGCGGTGTAGTTCCAAGCGACTTCACCAGAAAAGTCCTCTCCATGGTGGCGCAGCGCACGCAGCGGCCCGGTGAGGTGCGGTGGTGCGGGCCTGGCGACCTGGCTGCACACAGCCCGCTCGGGCAAACCCCGGAGAGGGTTAGTCAAAACTGCATGGTACTTCCGCGGCACGATACGATGGTCCGACGACGACGCACTCCGCTGGCACGCCGACAACTCCGCCGACGCCACCGGTATGGTACATTGTTGCCAGCGCCCTTTCGAATTGCCGCAGCCTTTTCTTCAGGAGTACGAAAACGTCGGTGACGAAAAAACGAAAACAAACATGGTTCGGGAAGCGGCCGCTCATGACCCAAGCGCTCGCACACTATCTCTGCCTGTTCTGCTCTGCGCTACCATATTGGTCACCGCTTCGCGCGCTCCTCCTTTCCTTTTTTCTGCGGCGGCGCGCCGTATGGCTCCGCCGTCGATGTGCCAGGCTTTCTCTGTATAGATCGTGCCAGGCTATGCTCAGACAAACTGAAGAAGCGGGAGAACGACATTCATGCTTTCGCACTCACAACTCATAAGAAGTGTTTAGGTGTCCTTCGACTTTCCTTTGCCTTCCCATTTCCTTTCCCTAACTTGAATTCAATAATCCCATTTTCCCCTTTTCGTTCACAATATTACCACGGCTGCACTTGTGAATCTTCACCCATTCTTCTTATATATACGGTGCAGCATAATATGCCATGTCAATGCCGCAATTTTGAACTAGCATGGGCCTTCTGGGTAGACGACAGCAACAGCTGTCGTCCACTCAGTTAAGCGAATTCGAAACTAAGAGTACACAGAGAGCTGGTCAAAAACTGAGTCCGCCGAAACCAGTGGCCGGGATGGTCTAATTGATTGGACTTTCGGCTGCCGAACGCGTCAGACGTTCTTGTCATGAGTGCCGTCGGAGCGGTTTCAGCGGCCCAATCTGGCCGCGGTAACAGGAGTGCTGACGCTGCACAGCAGGAGTACGAAATCATTTTGCCGTCGCCGTGCATCGGGACCATCTATTCTACACATGGTATCTTTGCTTGCCGATATAAAAGCTCGGCCCTAACGTCTTGAGAATTTTCGGGACGCCCTTGCACGTGTGACCTTTTTCCGCGAGGTGCTCGCTTTGGGGGCGTATCAATACAATCACGTTTGGGCTGTTACCTTCAACAGCGCCGAGGGGAAAAATAAGTTGCTAGCCGTCGCAGCCTTCAAAGTTAAGGACGACCGCTGCGTCGTGGTGGACCCGAGTAACCTGGACACCTGGCTCAAGCTCCACTGGCTGCTGCATTACGTCCCTGACGAAGAGGTACGGGCGGCCCTGTCGCTTTTTGGGAATGTGACGGCTTTCTCCGCGAGGTGCTCGCTTTGGGGACTATATTTAGCATGAAAATTTCCCCGTCAAAGATTGTGAGAATAATTTCCCACTAAAATTTGTGGTAAAAATTCCGCGCTTAAATTAGCAGGAAAATATTCCCTCTAAATTTAACGGAAAACAATCGCCGCTAAATTTAGCGCGAAAATTTCCCCTCTAAAACTAGCGGCAAAAGTTTTCCATCTCAGTTTAGCCCAAAAACGTCACCGCCATATTTAGCGAAAAACTTTCTCCACCAAATTTAGCGGGAAAATCCTCCCGCTAAAATTTGGTGCTAAAAATTCCCGCCTAATTTAGCAGAAAATTTTCCCCGCGAAGTTTAGTGAAAAAGAAAATCCCCGCTTGACTTAGCGGGAAAATTTTCCTGCAATTTCTAGCGGAAAAATTTTCCCGCTAAATGTAGCCGAAAACATTTCCCCGCTAAAATCGCCCAAGTAAACGTGTTTCACGTTTACTTTGGCAACTGATGCAATGAAAAGATTTTTTGGTGGATGCTATCGAATTTGCAGGTTACGACCGCCTGATCATTCAACTAATTGATGATTTCACTTCGCTAATTGTTTCAATGGAATGTCTAATTCTGATTCTGTTTGCCCATAATCTACTTATTGGCTCGTTTGCTCAAAAGTAACTCAATCGGTCTATCTAAGGAAGCCTCAACGAAAAGCTTTGCTAAAGGTGCACTGGCCTTGAAAATTATTTTTCTTGTGATCGATATAAGGCCACCTCATTTAATTTTGAGAAAGCCAGCACGCTGTAGAGGAGGAATGACCGATATCTAGCATGAAGTCATAGGTTTCAGATGAGGGCATTCTATTTGTAGCTGAAAAAAGTGGTGTCACACTTAATTAGAAAGATAAGCGAAACAAAAATATTATTAGGTATTTCGGTTAAGGAAGCTGTGCATACTTTCGCTCAGTTTTCATTATTTTGTTCACATTTTACTTTGTAGCTTTGAGTTCATTTATGATGGCTATTAGTTCACTTGGAGCATGTAAAATAGATTGGACGTGACAGACAACTGCACTTTGGCGTCCATCTTATGTCTGAGCTGTGACTTCATTCTTTTTAGTTCAGGTGTATCTCTCGCTTGGCTCGATCAGTATCTACTTAATGTATTGAATGCCTTTTTACAAGGTTGCTTTGCCACAGGAAACTTGTGCCCTTGGGGGTGTTTGTTGAGTGGTGTCCCCAATCACCATGAGCACCGAGCCCTGCATGGGTTCAGAACCCTTGTATGCTTGGCTGAGCTAGGTGTCCCTGTGTCTGATGAAACTGGGGTCTTGGCAGTTGAGCCAAGCCCGGGCTAGGTTTCCTTCAGGGGCCCACCGGGTTAGACAACATCCCACCCCAGCCCGCGCTCCGCACAGACAGGTATCCCTCGTTGGCCCACCCAGGACGATTCGGTCAGTCGCTTTGCATCACCTCTCCTTTCTTCTTTCTTTTCCATCCCTTTTTACAATTTCTCGTATTTTAGATGCATTAGAATTGTTTTAAAGTGAAGAGGATTATTATTGACATACACGCGGCGCGGCTCTGTTTACCGACATGGCCAGAAGGCCGCGCATGCGCAAAAGCTACGTGGGCAAAAGCGGCCGGTCTCTTCGTGTTCTTAGCCATTGTATTGTGTAGCATGCGCATGTTGTGGACGTTTTAGAGACGCTTCTAGCTTTATTCCTGCGTCGTACGTCTTCTCAACGTATGTCATATGTTCTGCCCGACTATTTGAGCTCGCTACCCGAGCCTGAACGGCAGCGGTATCGAGACAAACTGTGCGTGGACAGCGTTGCCTCAGGCGATTTGTACGCCGTAAACAAGGACTGCTGGAGTTTCGACGTTAGGTTTCTGCCACCAACGTCAACGGCTCACGTCGTCGTTTATTTATTTGTTTTTCGCCAAGCTAGTTCATGGCCGACAGGGTGTAGGCGTACAGGTCTCTCGAGGCCTACAATTACTTCGAGCCGCTTTCCGCGCTGCCGGCGGGATCAGCACAGGGGATCAGCAGACTGTGGGTCTGAGGAAGTGTATTTATTAATTAATAAATACATACAGCATCCTTCAAGTCGAGGTATGATATTTTCCTTACCCTTATGATCACAAGGCAC